TGATAATAATAATAGTCAGGTAATGTTTTAATCCAATTACGAAAAGCGAATTTATCGTACCTACTACCATTATTTATTTTCTAGGTGATGACTGCTCGATATACGGCTACGGGTACACGAATCCCCTTACGGCAGAAGTTTCAGAGAGGCTACTCGAAGGCAGAGTAGAGACGATGTCGCTGGATGAATGCATAGAGCGACTCGGACCGTACGTTGCCCCAGCGTACGACAGCGGTATGATGTGCGCAGTTGGAGAGAGCGGGGCCGACGCGTGTCAAGTAAACTTGTTTCTAATTTATTGGACTTGTAATGTGTAAATTTAACATCTATCTAGGTATATGATATTGACTTTTATTGGAACTGTATTAATATTACCACATGATTTTTGACATCAATAAATTAATATTTTTATTGCACCACGTTGGGCGCCAAACAGGCACGTGTGAAGGGCAGGCGATTATCAAAAATATCTTGGTCGATAATCAGTTGATTGCAAATGCCTATAAAAAGAAAAACGTCTGATGGTCTTTGGAACTAAAAGGACGTCGTCATCGTCGGTCCACCTGGTGTAGGCCTGCCTGCAATAATTGCTAAAAGGACGTCATTCACAGTAGAAACCAAGTAGGTAACTAAAATTAAAAATTTATAAAAGAAAATGGTTTGACATGTCCGTTATGCTGAACGAAGAGTTCATAGTTGAATCGTTTCCTTACATAATTTATGCTTAAGTAAACAATTAAATAGTCATAAAAAGCTCAATGCAACAGATCGCTTTAAATGTACCAAAACTTGTTTTATTTCAGGGTGATTCCGGAGGTCCTCTATTCTGTGGTAACAGTACCATTTTACAAGGCGTAAGTAGCTACGGAATGAGCTGCGGCGTGTCTGGTCTTCCAGGAGTGTACACGAGTATAGGCGCTCATCTGAACTGGATCCGTACTGTTCTGAACAAGGGAACACAGAATCAGACGACAGAATAAAAAAGATGATTTCATTAAATTCTTTATTTTCACAACGATGTTATTCATTACAACCATGGAAGCTTAAATAACATTGCAACACCTTTAACGAAAATATCTACGTTTGAAAACATAGCAGAGTATTTCTCAAAAAAAATGTACATTTTGAAAAAAAAAAGTGTGCTTTGAAACAGTTCAAAAGTTTTATATTTATAAATCATCACACAAAAAAAACACACACACAATTTTGAAGGATGAATATTAATCTTTAAGATAACGAAGAATTATAGCTATAATCCTGCTTATTACCAAATATTTAGATATTTTAAAAATAGTCCTTTTTTACCTTTCATACAAAAACCTGTTNAATCCCTCACTTTAATTACATCACTGAGAAGGCTGAGAAAGGAGTAAACATTCTACGTTCTCTTTCTGGAGTTAGTTGGGGTGCTCATCCTTTTTCCCAAAAACTCCTCTACAATGCTATCGTTCGTAGCCACCTGGACTATGCCTCCTTTCTCCTTGACCCTTGCAATAAATCAGCTTTAGATAAAATTAAAAAAATTCAATCTAAATGTTTACGTATTATTTTGGGAGCCATGAAATCTTCTCCTATCAACGGTCTGCAGGTCGAATGTGTCGACCCTCCTCTCTATTTACGCAGACAATTTCTCAGCGACCGCTTTCTTGCGAAGACCATCCAAAATCGTGGTCACCCCCTCATTGAAAAACTTCGTCATTTATCGACCCTGTGTGACTCAGCCGGCTCCACTCAAAAACGTTCTTGCATTAATCATTCATTTTCTAAATTTTCTCGCCTCCCGGCTCCTATCGAAGAGATGGAAGTAAACCCTTTGTACTCTATAAGCTTCGAATCATTAATTTTTAATCCATCCATCATTTTAAATTTGGGAATAGATAAAGACTGCCCCGGTGCTCCCAAAATTTTTTTAAATATTGTAGCCAAACACTGGCCGGACTGGCAGTACATGTATACAGACTCTTCTAAACTCGATATAAATGGCTGCGTTGGCTCTGCGGTCTGGATACCTGCCTTTAAAATCGCATTATCATTTAAATTACCTCCGTTCTCTTCTGTTTTCACAGGCGAATCCCTAGCCATTCTTGAAGCCATCCTTTATGCTGAATCTCATAATTTCTCCAAAACAGTAATCTTTTCGGACTCTTTAAGCTGCCTCCAAGGTGTTTCCTCCAACCCGTTCAAATCCAAAACCAAATATCCCATTTTATTCAAAATTAGAGAAGCCCTTTACAGGTGCAATCAAAAAGGTCTTAATATCNTATTTGGGTGCATACTTACAAATATTTCGAATTGAATAAATAAAGAGCATTCACAATATTTCGCCAATGTATAACAAGCCTTATGGCCTTACTATTTCGTTACTACCGTTTCGTTACGTACACTTTTTTTGAGAAATACTCAGCAATATAATCTAATGCATTGCGGAAAATATTATGTACGCGTCCGGTATATTACTATTTACTAATGTAAACAATCACAACAGCCGTCGAATATAAAGTGGAATGACGAAAAAATACATAAACATAACTTGTTCATTGGAAAAATATGTATCTACCTAGTTTACCTAAAAAAAAATCTAGAACAAATGACGCACATATATGTAGAAATATGTTTAGCTCCAGCACATGTGAAGGTCAAGTAAGGTTCGGATATACAACCCCCACGCCAACTTAACTTTATTTTGTTTAAGATGAATTTCTTAAATTTTAAATACTCACACCAACATATTACTATGCTTTGCACCCATTACTCACATTTCAATACCGGAAATATCAAATAAAATGGCACCGATAAGAAAATTCTATGTATCATAGATAGTATGGGCCCAAATCAGAGTTAATCTTTTTCTTATCTAAAATTAAGTCTAGCATGAAAATCAAAACTTACATTTTTACACACCCGATAAGTTATTTAAGTATGTATGTATATGTTACTGTAAAAGCTCGAACTATGGTTAATCTTAAGATTTAAGTGTAAATCTTAGGATTTACCGACATGAGTTGGTAAATGCAAGTATTTCTGAAAATACGACGATTTTTTCGAGCTTTTACCATTCGAATTCAGTATATGCTAGGTTTTACCTCTGTCAGCTGGTAGATGTTGGTTTTAGGAATAAAACAATGAGTAATTCTTAATGGGGAATTATAAAACGATCGACCAAAAAATTAGTTAGCGATTGATGATGGCATACTTACTGTTTTAATAACTTGAGCGGTATGAATTTGAGTAAGCGAAAAATTCAAATGCAGAATGAGCTTACAAAAAGTGGGTTATGTTTAATCCATTTTAGATATTAAAATTCTGTCCGTGCGACTAAATTACTAAGTGAGCGACTAGAAATACAAAGAAGGAAACTTCAATATTAAGATAGATTCGATTTTTTCCAATTGAAGTAATTTCTGATGATGATGATGATGATGAGATGCGCTGAGCACATTATGACATGTTTTGTTTTTCAACATTTACCGTGCCATTAATGTAAATCCTAAGATTTACCAACGAAATGGTGGTAAGAGTTCGAATCGCAAACCTTTTGGGACATTTACCATTAGAATTTGGTAGATCTTAGGTTGTACTGGAATATCTTAGGATTTACTGCAATTCGAGCTTTTACAGTAACATATATAGACATTTTATACCTCGGCATGTCTGTACATTATGTACATTTATAAGTAGTAGTAATTATGTAACATTTCAGATTCAATATTATAGAGTACATACACAATCATCTGAAACTACGTTTTCATGCATACATTATTCTGGCAAGTATACATATACTTTTACATATTCAGAGATGCTCAAGATTTTTTTATTTGAAGTAATTTGGTAGAGCCTTCGAACAAAGATGCACGTCAATTGACTAGTACATTAATTAACATTTATGCTTATTTTGTACTCAAAAATACACCTATAGGTTGAACACGGTTTGAAAATGTTTTTACTTTGTTTATCATTGAACTACACAAGGGTTGAATTTTATTTAAGTTTATTTAAGATAGAATTGAGTATCACCTTATAATATACTTTTGGTCAGAGTCACATTATAAGTATATAGTTTGTCCTGTATACTTCAATTACACATAGACATAAGTAGTTTATATTTCGAGTAAGAAATTTATTGAATACTTTAAAGTACCTAGTCCACTACTAACTCTTAACAATACAATGTAGTATATAAATTTGATATAAAGGCCATCAAGAAGTCAAGATAACACTTATATATTGATATATTTTTGTCCCAATTACAACACAAACAAAACATATTAATACATCTATACAACAATTTTCAACTAAGTGCTAACACATTTCACCATGTTTCCACATAAAATATTCCTATCACATACATTAAATTTCTACAAGACCTCATTCCCATTCTACTTAAAATTTATCTTTGGGGGCATCTGTTACTGTACAATTTGTAAGACAAAAATATTATTTTATTGTAGTAAATAAGCTCGCCACGCCTGAAGAACTACGCAAGTAACACTAAGCCATTTAATCTCAATTTACCAATAAAAAACGTACTTATTTAACAAGTGAATGTAGGCATTATTTATTGCAACTTAGCAATGAATAAATTAAACTATAAATCCTTATGATTGCATTTAATAAGCTATTAAAATAGGAACTAAATTGCCACTATATGAAAGCCATCTCTTTACTATAGCCCATTTCTGGATGACATGATATGAGTCTACAGAAGGCATTAATGAACACATGGTCACAAACTTAAACCCTGTACCGGCAATGAGATGAGATCATCAAACAGTGTAGTAAGTTTAATTTATGACCATGAGAACCATGACTTAGTTTCACCTGAAGGGGTGGAGCCAGGGCTTTTAGGTGATTTCGGAGTATTTGGTTTAGATTCCGATTTCTTCTCTTCGGTATTCTCAGGGGCCTTTTCTGCTTCAGTAATTGTAGATTTCAGCTGTAATCAAACAAAGTAAAATTGTCATATGGATAGTAGACAGCAAGCAAGTTGCATATTNAAAATACTCTCCCATGATCTCTCCTGCCTGGCTCTTACCCATCTATCTACATCATGGTGCACTGATTGGCAAAATTCGAGGAGACTAGCGGGCAAATATTATTTTGATATTCAAAGAGAAATCCCTAGCCGTCCATGGTTTTTTAAACACCATCACCTACCCAAAAAAGTAGTTTCTGTCATTTGTCGTCTCCGTTTGGGTCATGCATGTACTCCAGTTCACCTAAACAAAATTCGAGTGAAAGATAGTTCGCTCTGCGAATGCGGCTTGGACGAAGGCTCTGCTGACCACATATTTTTTAACTGTCCCAGGGTAGGCGCGTCGTTATACGACTCCCTACCTCAAGACTTTCCCCGTCCTTGCAATCTTAAATCAATCCTCAGTCTTGTTCACTCCCCTATTTTAGACATTCTATCAAAATTCATCCTAATTAATAAAATAAAACTCTAATAAATGTTCACGTCTCCCCCTCTCCACTAACTCTATTTTATTTCCCTTCCTCCCTCCTTCTACCCACTTACTTGTTGTCTGTTCTCGTGCCTTTTTTTTGTGATTTTATTATGTATATTACTAACTGTGTTGTCTTATTTGTGCCGTTGTGTTTGTCTGTTTTAGGTGTGCACGCTAGACTATACCTAATAGCACTCAACCCCAAGGTTTATAACTTCATATACCGTGTAATGGCTATGCTCACGTGACATTGGCAAACGTGGAAACACAGTAGCCATAGAGGAGAAGAAGAAGAAGCAATTCCGCAATAAATTTTGCCTGAATAAATGGATTACTGAGACCAACTACAATGGAATTGGAAAATACATGCCGCTGTTGCCTATCTCAGGGCATGCACAAAGACTTGGATGCGTCGCACGTTTGGATAAACACAGCTGAAAACTATTCCAAGATGTTGAATGATTGTTTTAGTATTGTTGTAAGTTTATTTACACTTATTATACCCATAAAACCTTCATTTAAACATTCTTTCATTCTTTTCTAAATTATTTGTTTGCTTTGAAGTCATTTTCATGCATTAATAACATAGCATAATTAATGTACCAAAGATGGAAGAAATCGCCAATCGTGGACAAGTCCGTCAAATTAGTATTTTTTTCAATAACACTGTCTAGCCCTATATTACAATTAATATAAAATAAATAGTATCATACCACAATACCTATGCGCTTCTAGGACTATTTATTATTTTGCCTTCTAAATTATTAATAAATTAATTTTAGCTCTCATCTTCTAAATACAAGGCCAAAATCTGTGATACCTGCATTGAAAACCTGAGAACCTGCATCAACTTCAAACAACAAGTGTTGAGGTCAGAACAGGAATTTCTGAAAATGATCAAAGATTATGATGAAGGTATGTACTTGTTTCATATGCTTCAATTTAGTTATATGTCAGGAAAATTATTAAATATTGCTATTTGGAAATTGTTGTATGGATTTAAAATGCTGCAATTCTGCAAAATCTTCTTACTATATTATATTAAAGTGAGCTCAACTCTAATAAGAAATGTGGTTTATTATTTTATATCTGTGTTCTATTTCTATTTAGCACTACTATTTACAATTACAATATAATAATAAAGGAAAAACCTAGGTCAAAAGGTACCTTGAACATCTGGATACATTGAAAAAGTTAAAAAAAATCCAATAAAACACAATAATGTAGTTGTGGGTTTAACTTATGAAGCAGACGCTCTTTTTAAGTGATCAATTGATCAATAAAAAGTTTTTATGCCATACTCAGAAATTAAACTGAAAATAGAGATGTTGAATTTAGAAACATATATACACAACCTAATGTTATATCATACTGGTTCACAGATGAAAAGCCTTTCGAAATAAAACTGGAGCCTATTCAAGAGAGTGGCGACGACTCAGACGATTATTTCTTGGCTGATGCAGGTACATACATTTATAAACATTATTATTTTATGTGTTAACTAGCTTTCCGCCCGCGGCTTCACCAGCGTGAAATTTTGTCTGTCACAGAAAGACTTTACCGCGCGCATCCCTGTTTCAAAAACCGGTATAAAAACTATCCTATGTCCTTTCCCGGGACTCAAACTATCTCTATACCAAATTTCATCAAAATCGGTTCAGTGGTTTAGGCGTGAAAGAGAGACAGAGTTACTTTCGCATTTATAATATTATAGTATAGATTACTGTAAGTATTTGTACATAAAAATTACTGATCACGTCTTAGCAAACATTGTGTAGGACGTCCACTTTCTCGATGTACTGACGACACGAACCTAAAGAAGTCAGGCTGTGGCTCTGTGGCGTCCTTTGAGGAGCTTAAGTCCATCAGTGGACTGTTATTGACTGCACTAATTGCACTGATGATGACCCATCACATTAAGGGCCTAGCTAAAACTTGGCGGAGCGAGTGCGCGCCTAAAATTCTTTGTATGAAACTCCACACTGCAACGCACACTTATCTTATCCGCACCGTAACGTGAACGCCTGGCCTCGTGGCTGACAGCTCACGAATGGTGATACGGTGTTGATGCTTTCAGAGTTGATAAGTGTTAGGTATGACCGTATGATTGCATATAAATGCACGCCCGCTCCTTGCCGCGAGTGTTCATACTATTTTTCGATACAGACATGCGTGAGTTCTTGCGAAACAAAAATACATATTTTCGGAAATTACTGCCTTGCCTGGCTTAAAAAGAAACGTTAGAATCGTTCGTTCGTTTCAGCCAAATGACGTCCACTGCTGGTCAAAGGCCTCCCCTAAGAATTTGCATAACAAACGGTCCTGCGCTGCCCACATACAGGTTCTTCCCGCGTCCTTCTCCAGACTACGTCTTCCAGTCCGTGGTCGCCATTCAAGAACTTTTCTGCCCCAGCAACTATCTACGAGCTATGCGTCTCTCCCACTACCACTTGATTTTAGCAATATAATTTGTTTGTATTGCACCAATTACTAATAGTCCTGTTAGCCCCTCGTACTAAGCTAAATATACTTGTGTCACGAGTGAGCTCACCACAATAGTCGAGCGGCGGCGGGGACCGAACCCGCGTGCCTCGGATCACGAGTCGGCCAGTCCGACCCCTTCACCGTTCGGCTATCGTGGCGTTTCTACGGACTACTTATATTGGATGAAGCGTTAAAATGTAATCCTACTAATATTATAAATGCGAAAGTTTGTGTGGATGTTTGTTGTTCTTTCATGCAAAAACTGCTGAACGGGTTGATTGTATTATTGTTTATAACCCAGAATAATCTTCTATAATTACAGTGCGACACACTCCCGAGCAAAAGATAAAGGAAGAAGTAAAAGAGAGCCCCGCCAAGAAGAAGCCAGAACAGAAGAGAAAGGGCAAGGCCCCGGACAAAAAGAGCGGCAAGTCCGCGTGGAGGAAAGAGAAGATCATTAAGATTAATAAGACGCTGGTTAACCGACTCGCTACTTCCATAAGTAAGTAGAATATCATATGCTGTGTTAAAGCCTGGTCCGTGAGCACGTAGAATCCCGTACAATGACCCCAAGCTGCCCATCCTTGGCGCTCGCACGTAATTACGTTGCTGTCGCGCTCGCACACTCACTGCGGGCGCGCGTCGCACAGTCGCGACAGCAATATAATTACGCGCGAGCGATAAGGATGGGTATCTTGGGGTCATTGGACGGGATTCTACGTGCTCACGGACCAGGCTTTAGTAGTTAGTTTTGCAGGGCAATCGAATTAGCTTCTTGATTGGGCCTTTGTGAGTAGGTATATGCCATGTAAATAATTACAAAAAGTTAGACTCTAGTTGAACTCTGGTTTAAATTGACATTTAGAATGGAAATGTCATTTTAGCGCAGTATTCATCATCATCATAATCTCAGCTATAGGACGTCCACTGCTGAACATAGGCCTCCCCCAATGCTTTCCATGTTGATCGATTGGTAGCGGCCTGCGTCCAGCGCTTCCCTGCTACCTTTACGATGTCGTCGGTGTAGCGCAGTATTCGTCTCAGCTTTAACTTTTTCTTAATAAGGGGGATAGTTTTTTAGTAATGTGACGTCACTTCTTGTAGGAGGAGCGACATCGGAGGGTGTTTTTATTACCTAAAACATCACTGCGATTTCAGCCTGTACTTAGCTGTAATTCCAAAATCGCTCGTTATTTTTGTGTGTAGTTATGATTTCAAAATTACACTGTCATGTCTTTAACTTGCCTAGGCCTAGCAAGGGTCACAGACGCCCTTCAGCCATATAAGCTGTGATATTTCACAATATCTTTGGGTTTTCTTTAAAAGCATTCTCAGATTTTATTTCTTCTTTTCCAGACTCCGTCAACCTTCCCGAGCTAACCATCACGCCGCCAAAAGCACCCACAAAAATCAAACTCGAAAAATCCATGTTTAAAGACGGAAAACTCAACCTCACCTGGACAGCAACGCCGCGCACCAATCAGAACAAAACGAAACACAGAGAGAACCTCCTCACAGTGTTAAAATTCTCCAACGCTACACCTTTTAAGAACAAATCTCTACTAGGATTTTCTTGCGGCTACTGTGAGTCTACTTTTCCAGACCCAGCTGATCTACGCTCTCATACAGAATCCAGTCATCTAAAAGAACGGTTAGACTTCAAATCAAACTTCGATATGACCGAATACAACGTCAATCTGGACATTACAGATCTACTATGCACTTTGTGCGATGAAAAAATGATCAATTTGTCTGCGTTGAAAGAACATTTAGTAAAGACTCACAATAAAACAATTTACAACGATATAAAGGATCATTTATTGCAATTCAAATTGAAAAAGGGAGAAGTATATGACTGCGCTATGTGTACATCCACGTATGAGACTTTCAAGATGTTGAAACAGCATATGAACATACACTACAGTAATTATACGTGTGAAAAATGTGACACATCGTTCGCTACGAAAAGATCTTTAAACGCTCACACAACAACGCACCAGGAAGGCAGCTTCAAGTGCGATTATTGTGAGAAAATATTCAGTAGCAAACCGAAGAAACACTACCATGAGAAGACCAAACATTTGGGTGCTCGGAACATAAGCAACTGTCCGTTCTGCAACGAACCGTTCCGCAGTTACTATCAACGGAATCAGCATATGGTGAAAGTGCACAATTCTGAAGCCCAGTACAAGTGTAATATATGCAATAAGTCGTATATTTTAAAATCGTTGCTGATGTATCATATAAAAAAGAACCATTTGATGGAACGAAACTGTCAGTGCACGGAGTGTGGTTACAGATTTTTCAGCAAAAAAGCCTTAAAGGCTCATATGGTTAAGCATACAGGCGAGCGGATTTTCGCTTGCGAGGTTTGCAACAAATCCTACGCTAGGAAGTATACTTTGAGGGAGCATATGCGGATACATAATAATGACAGGCGGTTTAAGTGTGAAGTGTGCGCGATGACGTTTGTCCAGAAGTGTAGTTTGAAGAGCCATTTGCTGTCAAATCATGGGATTAGTATGACAGCCAGCGCTATCACTTGCTCTTAGCTTTGGAAGCTAACCGAATGGAGTATTAACTTTAAACCTAGGGACAGACCACCGACTTTTAGTCGGATAGTTGGGTCGGGCTGTTAATCAGTATGGATATGTATGAAAGTACGCACATTACACCGATTTGGTATCGGCCGATTCTTCATACAAATTAGAATCGGGCCCAACTATCGGCCAACTAAAAGTCGGCGGTCTGCGCCTAGGCTAAAAGTTTTGAACTTGAATCGATCTCAGATTATGATTCGTTGGATATTGAACTTTGAGTTCTAAGATATTGGGTTCAATTGAAAATATTTGTCAGTATGTTGTAGTTTGAATTGAACCTACAGCACATTTTGTCTCTCTCGCTCATGTAATATTTTAAGCATGAGCAAAAAAGACAGATATATTTCGCCTGCATATTATTGATCTAAATATTATGTTTGGTTTAAATTGGCCTAAACTCAATTAAAATAGTGCAATAAAAATGGTCAACGTTTTGTGACTAAAATGTGTACATAGTTACTTTTAGATTACATAAATCTCAATGTAAAGGTGTATTTTGGACGCGTTGAATGGTCTTTTTGATAGATAGGTACTCGGTAAATCGTATCGCCCTTTGCGAGCTGTCATCGACTTTCGCGCGCTGTCAACCGCGAGGCGGGGCGTTTACGTTACGGTGCGGATAAATATGTGTTGGGCCCAGAACAGACGGTGAAACGCAACTGCAACGAAACTGCAACTTTCTGATGATTCTGATGAATGAAACTGAAAGTTTCAAACTGGTCGCGTCATGTGTGGTCTCAACGACCCAGAAAGGGCCAAAACAGACGGTGAAACGCAACTGCAACGAAACTGCAACTGCTAGTTACTTTTGAGTTGCATCTAAGTTTCTGCCATAGCATTCGTTGAGAGGCCACACATGACGCGACCAGTTTGAAACTTTCAGTTTCATTCNGCGCGTCGTTATACGACTCCCTACCTCAAGACTTTCCCCGTCCTTGCAATCTTAAGTCAATCCTCGGTCTTGTTAACTCCCCTATTTTAGACATTCTATCAAAATTCATCCTAATTAATAAAATTAAACTATAGTAAATGTTCACGTCTCCCCCTTTCCACTAACTATTTTGTTTCCCTTCCTCCCTCCTTCTACTCACCTTGTCGTCTGTTCTCTTGTTTTTTCGTGATTTTATTATGTTTATACTAACTGTGTTGTCTTATCTGTGCCGTTGTGTTTGTCTGTTTTAGGTGTGCACGCTAGACTATACCTAATAGCACTCAACCCCAAGGTTTATAACTTTTTATACCGTGTAATGGCTATGCTCACGTGACATTGGCAAACGTGGAAACACAATAGCCATAGAGGAGAAGAAGAAGAAGAAGATTTTTTGTGGTATTTTTTAGCAATTTGGGGAAAGCAATTCCTTAATTCAGTCAGTTATAGTTTAGATAGTGTCGAGGTGTGTCGTTTTCCCCGGGAGTGAAGTTAAAACTACCACGATTACGTCTAAAATGCAAAGCGTGAGCGCCCCTGGGGGGCAAGCTCCGCCAGTCATCAGCACAAGTTCGACGATCCTGAATATGCGGGAAAAAGAGAAGTACGTTGAAGATTTCGAGTTCCCATTCTGCGATGAGTCTTCCAAATACGAAAAAGTGGCCAAGATCGGTCAAGGAACCTTCGGAGAAGTGTTCAAAGCTCGAGCTCGGAACAGTAGTAAAAAATTCGTGGCAATGAAGAAAGTACTCATGGATAACGAAAAGGAAGGGTTTCCTATCACTGCCTTGCGAGAAATAAGGATACTACAGCGTCTGAAACACGAGAATGTTGTGAATTTGATCGAAATATGTCGGACTAAGGCTACACTGCACAATAAGTATAGGTCAACTTTCTACTTGGTTTTTGACTTTTGTGAACACGATTTGGCAGGTTTATTGTCGAATGTGAACGTGAAATTCAGTCTCGGCGAGATTAAGAAGGTCATGCAGCAGCTATTGAATGGGTTATACTACATTCATAGCAATAAGATCTTACATAGAGATATGAAGGCTGCCAACGTTCTGATTACCAAGAACGGTATCTTAAAACTCGCTGACTTCGGTCTGGCGCGTGCCATCAGTGTAGCCAAGTCTGGACAGGCTAACAAGTACACAAACAGAGTTGTGACATTATGGTATAGGCCTCCGGAGCTGTTATTAGGTGAGTTATTTTTATTTAGTACTACTATAGTCTGGTCCGTAAGCACGTAGAATTAGCAATATAATTACGCGCGAGCGATAACGATGGGTAGCTTGGGGTCATTGGACAAAATTCTACGTGCTCACGGACCGGGCTTTACTGTTATTTCAATAATTTAGATTTTTATGTTATAACTAGTACCTACAATGTTGCAATGCTCTTACAGGCCATGTTTAGGGACTGTATTATTATTTAAGATCCAAATATACCAACATGATGCAATAAACATTTGACTATGACTATGACATACTAATATGGTTATTTCATCACTTGCTGACATATTTATCAGATAAAGACTTTCATAGCCTGGCTATTGATAAATTATTGTGATTTCATGATAATAATATTTTCTTCTCAGTTCCATTAAACATAGTATTTTATGGTGTCATCCCAACTAATATAATAAATGCGAAAGTAACTCTGTCTGTCTGTCTGTCTGTTACGCTTTCCCGCTTAAACCTCGCAACCGATTTTGATGAAATTTGGCATAGAGATAGTTTGAGTCCCGGGAAAGAACATAGGATAGTTTTTATCCCGGTTTTTGAAACAGGGACGCGCGCGATAAAGTTTTTCTGTGACAGACAAAATTCCACGCGGGCGAAGCCGCGGGCGGAAAGCTAGTAATTTATAATTGGCTGAATTTTATCTATGTTCATTCTCATATTATATAAATGTATTGAGTTGGAGCAAATTAGTCATAAAAACATTACTTTCTTGTTACATTCCTATTCTTAGTGTTCACTTTGAGCAACACAACACCCAAATCAATTTAAAACATTGATTTTTAATATTTAAACCTTTGATTTCTTAGTTAGCTGTTAAATAATCCTCTCAATATCATTAGCTAAAATTAGCAGTAATTAATTGCATTGTGTTGTTTTCTTAATTGATTTCTTTAAGTACCCTAGAAGCTTTTATTCAAAAAATGAGTAACACTAATTTTGCTTCTTTTATTTCTTAATGACTTCTTTATGTAGGTAACTCCACTTATTTATTAATGACATTAATCTGCATTTAAATAAAAAATAATCAATTACTAAAACTATCCTACAATAAACGAAATCAAAAATATTTATTAAGTTTTGACTAGTATTTTGGCACTTATGAAAAATTAAAAAAAGCTAACCCTTAACATTACACATTTCCTTATCTTTTGGGCTCTACCAGAACCCCTTGTTGAGTTAAGACTGTAGCGATGTAAATTATGAAAAAAGCGTAATTTCTTCCAAAGGTGACCGCAACTACGGTCCTCCAGTCGACATGTGGGGTGCTGGTTGCATCATGGCCGAAATGTGGACACGGTCACCCATCATGCAGGTTTGTCATCTTTCATTTGATACATGACCTTTGGCAGTTTTTGTTTGTTTGATTTAGACTCGATTTGACCAAACTTTTATCCAAGAATAACTCCTGGTATAACTGGCACATTGACAGTTTCAGTATGGGAAATAATAATATGTCAAAACTGACGATTTATTCTGAGATTAATATTTACTCTTGTTTGGTAAAATCCACCCTTAATAGATAAAATGCAGTTAAAGTACAGTCACGGAATGAAAAGGTTCGTCAGTTTTCAAATTGATTCCTTCAACGAATCGCGAGCACATATTACCTTTTGAAACTATGTTACAGAATAATCTCGAGTTAGAGAAAATAATCTTTAACTGTACGTCAGTAAAGTTCAAAATTAGTCAGATCAAAGTTGTTGGACGATTTAACTTGTCAAGAAGATTATTATGATTGATAAACTAAAACCTTCTTGTTGGTTCAACCTGCCATTATCTATTAAATAAAAAAAACTACATTTGTAACATTGCACTGATGGGATAGAAAAATAAACAAGCAAAACCTTATTCGTTAGCAAACGTCATATTTATTTAAATGTTAGCAGCAATGTTTCTTGCACTGCTTGCACGGTTATGTTGGCAGGTTTGACTCTTACAGTACCTAGTGCAAGCGAAAACCGACACTAAGGTGACGAACCTTTTCATTCCGCGACTGTACATGGTGTTCCTTCTTACGATGGGAAAGGAGAGCTATTTTGAAATACTGTTTACGTAATTTCGGATCTATCTATCGCCATCGCTATGCTGGTATCTCGCTTTAAGTGAGGGGGATAGCAAAATTCGAAACTTCGGGCAACGTTTTTCGCAGTAGCCCCGCGGAACCTTTTGTCAACTTGGACGGTATTTGCAATCAATTATAGTCATTCTGCCTCTTACTCTAGGGTTCATTGTAGCAGCAGCACCTAACCATATCTCACTTCTGTTGCCTGCCAATCAATAATAACCCTTCTGCCTCTCACCCAGGGTTTAACAGCAGCAGCAACTAATCCTCATCTCTCAGCTGTGCGACTCTTGCCAATCAATTATAGTCATTCTGCCTATTACTCTAGGATCCATTATAGCAGCAGCACCTAACCATATATCACTCCTGTTGCCTGTCAATCAATAATACGCCTTCTGCCTCTAACCCCAGGGTCCAACGTAGCAGCAGCCACTGATCCTCATCTCTCAGCTGTCACAGCACATGTCTGGACATATGGCATTCTTGCCAATCAATTAGATTAATTTTATTTTAATTGAATTGCAGATTGTGTGAATTTTAGTGTCGAACTAATTTTCATATACAAGTATTTTGTTTTTGGAAAAAATAAAAAAATAAATAAATATCTTTGGACAATCTCACACAGCGCCATCTAGCCCCAAAGTAAGCAATTAATATGCTTGTGTTATGGGTGCTAGCTTAACGGATATACTACTTATATACTTTTTTTTTAAATACATACATAATATTATACATAGTAACACCCAGACCCGTCACAGAAATTAAAATTCATCATTTCAATTTCTGCCCGGCCGGGAATCGAACCCGGGACCTCTCGGCATAGTAGTCCGTTCTGAACCACTACACCAAACGGCCGACAAAGATAAATAAGTAAAGTAAAGTAAAAAAGTAAAAGTATTTTATTTGCCAGCAAAAAATTTACAGTCTGTTTATCTAGCGGCTGCTGCACTAAGCTGTGCGTTTGTCGCGGCAGCCTTAAGTAAAAAATGAAATTATAGTCATTCTGCGTCTCGCCCCAGGGTCCAACGGAGCAGCAGCAACTGATCCTGATCTCCCAGCTGTGCGGTTCCTGCACGCCAGACGTGTGGCCTGGCGTGGAGAGCTTGGATCTATACAATAAGATGGAACTGCCTAAAGGACAGAAGAGGAAAGTCAAGGTTCGTGGTTTTCATGCGCTGGTAACCTCTAAGGTGGTTTTCGAATGACCGCGCTGACCGCTTGTTGATCGTCGGCGCTGACAAATCAAAATGTATGTAATTGAAGGGATCGTTTCTGAGTGACGCTGATCGCTCGGCGCCGACGCTCCATACATTTCGGCTATCAGCGCTGACGCTCAGCGTACGTCAGCGTGATTCTAAAACCAACCTAAAAGACGTAGCACATATCAACCCGGAAACGGATCGTAACCGTGTCAACTCGAGGTGGTCAGTACTCAGTATTCTTTGTATGAAACTCCGTATTGTAATGCACACTTATCCGCACCGTAACGTAAACGCCTCTCCTCGCGGTTGACATCGAAAGGCGATACGGTGTTGATCCCTTTCCAAGTTGATATTATTATAATAATAATAAATAATAAATTAATATCCTTTGACATTGTACACTGCGCCTCTAGTCCCAAACTAAGCAAAGCTTGTACTATGGGTACTAGACGACGGGATAAACATACTTATATACTTTTTTTTTTGTAAATACATACATATTATACATAGAAAACACCCAGACCCGTCACAGAAATTAAAATTCATCATTTAAATCTCTGCCCGGCCGGAAATCGAACCCGGGACCTCTCGGCATAGTAGTCCGTTCTGAACCACTACACCAAACGGCCGACAAATTATGTCCTTAAATAGCGTAAAATAATTTATTTGTGATTTTGTGATACACAGGAAAAATTGTTGTTGAACACAATGTTGTGCAATCTTTGTCGTCAAACAATAATTGCACAATGTTGTGCAATCTTTGTCGTCAAACAATGATTTGGATGTGTAAACGTTTTTTAAAAAACCTAATTGCACAAAAATGTGTCACTTTTTATGACTCATGTGTTTGCGAAAGTTACTCTGTCTTCACATCCAAACATTGAACCAATATTGATGATTTTTAACAGAGACCGTAATATTTATTTATGTTCTTCATAACAGGAAAGGCTAAAGCACTATGTAAAGGACCCGTACGGCTGTGATTTATTGGACAAGCTGCTGCAGTTGGACCCAGCCAAGAGGTAAGATTAAAAATGCATTCAATTTTTAGGATTATTCAATTTTTTTAAAGGCGCCAGGTCGCAAAGGACCAATGATTCCCACCTGAGGCAATCGTTTTTAGCGATTTTTTGAGATACTTCTCCTTGCAGACGGAAGTTGGGGCGTCGTTGGGTCATTGCAACTTCTTCTTTTCATCAACAACCAACATTACTAGCTTTTGCCCGCGGCTTTACCCGAGTGAAATTTAGTCTGCTATAGTCTATATTACTTAGAGATAATGTAGCATTCTAATTGTGAAATATTTTTTGCAAACGGTACAGTAGTTTTTCCCCCTTAATAATAAAAAGTTACACGCTAGAGCCGTATAACAGGCTTATTGATAATCCCCGTTAACGCCAATTGGAGCTTATAATAATGGGGAATAATGAACTAAAAAGTTCATTAATCCCCGTTATATTAGGATTTTATTTTTAACGTAATGGGGATTAATGAACTTTTTAGTTTATTATTTATTCCCCATTATAAGTTCCAATTGGCGTTAACTTGTCATTGGGATTGTCAACGGGGAATAGTGGAATAAACCAACACTGTTTTAAAGTAACATTTAGTATGGAAATGTCACTTTAAAACAGTGTTCAACTGGGGTGTAACTTATTATTATTAAGGGGCTTTGAGTTTGTTAGTTTCAAACATACAAATATTTCCTCTTTATTTATATTAGTATTATTTTCTAGATACGACGCGGATACGGCTCTGAACCACGACTTCTTCTGGACGGACCCGATGCCGTGCGACCTGGCGAGCATGCTAGCGCAGCACACGCAGAGCATGTTCGAGTATTTGGCGCCGCCGCGACGCCCCGGTAACGCCCCGCTTGTATTGCTTATGTTTATTCATCATCATCATCATCTCAGCCATAGGACGTCCACTTCTGAACATAGGCCTCCCCTAATGCTTTCCACGTTGATCGATTGGTAGCGGCCTGCGTCCAGCGCTTCCCTGCTACCTTTACGATGTCGTCGGTCCACCTTGTAGGTGGACGTCCTACGCTGCGTTTTCTGTGTTGTGTTTATTAAACATATTAACTAACACAGGTATCCGAAAATGTGGCAACGAGTGACAAAGATGGTGACGAATTTAAACGTACGCCCCGGTAACGCCCCGCATTTAATCACTTGATTCTTTACTCAAATTCGTGATATAACAGGCTCCCTATAACGTGGCAACGATCGGCGACAACGAAGGCAATCTTAAACGTACGCCCCGGTAACGCCCCGCTTGTGTTTATTAAACATATTCATTAACACAGGTATCCGAAAATGGGGCAACGAGCGACAAAGATGGCGACGAATTTAAACGTACGCCCCGGTAACGCCCCGCACTCGCTCACTTGCTTGATTACTCAAACCAGTGAAATGATGGGTAGCCGATAACGATGTAACGATGAGAGCGGTTACGACCGACGACGATTTTTAACACACGCCCCGGTAATGCCCCGCATTTCCAAAAACCTAGCATTTTAATTAAAATAGTAAGACACGGGTCTTAACGCGGCGTTTATTAATGAGTTACATTATGTACTCACGGCTTCACGTTTTGGCTGCGATGCTGCAGCCGTGGTCACAAGCAGACTGGCGGTTCGTGGTCGTCCGTTCGGGCGGGCTTGAAGATTTTCAACTACCCTCATATTGGCATTTTCTCCTCAGCCTCTGACCTAGTAGTCTAAAAAAATTCCCTGTTTTATTTTCGGGACAAATAAAACTATTTTGTACAATTTTTTTTTTGTAAGAACTTTATGACCTGTATTCTGGCAAATAAACGCTTCTTATCTTATCTTATCTTTCCCAGGGCATTTGCGTCACCACCACCACGTAGCGGGAGCGCAGCCTAAACCGGCGCNCCCAGAAAGGGCCAAAACAGACGGTGAAACGCAACTGCAACGAAACTGCAACTGCTAGTTACTTTTGAGTTGCATCTAAGTTTCTGCCATAGCATTCGTTGAGAGGCCACACATGACGCGACCAGTTTGAAACTTTCAGTTTCATTCATCAGAATCATCAGAAAGTTGCAGTTTCGTTGCAGTTGCGTTTCACCGTCTGTTCTGAGCCTTAGAGTATGGAGTTTCATACAAATAATACTGATCGCCTCGAGTTGATACGGTTACGATCCCTTTCCGGGTTGATAAGTGTGCTACGTCCTTTAATGACCTGAGATCATAATATCTGAGCCATCAAAAGACCATTAAAATTTGTTACATTTCATCACAAAATTATATAAATTATTTATATGTATAAACATAGCTTGTACATAAAATCTCACATATAAATATGACAAGGTGCTGTAAACGTAGTTTTTAGTAGTCGTAGTTTTTATATAAATTTTGTTTGTTGGCATTTTCCTAATTAAGTATTATTTAAAACATTTTTCTTACCAGCCTGCATAATATTCTTCTTAGTATGTATATTGTTACATAATAAGTACTTACCTATGTACTACTGCCTATTTTATAGATCGTTTCATCCACTCGGACGCGCCCCACCAATGTTTGGTCTCGGTCGCGCGGGGTGCGGGGAGTGTGGTCCGAGCAATCCGTACCGTAAGGCATTATTGTAGTGTGCGTGTGCACTCATGGATCATTTAGCGTGTACCTATAACACTCAACTAGTGTCCGACCGAATATGGATTTTCAGCCGAAAACGGAAACGAAAACGAAGCTTCGGCTGCAGTCTCATTTTCGGCCGAAAACGAAAACGAAAACGAAAATGACCTTCAACTCTCAAATTTCAATCTGAAATTATGTAAAAACTTTGAAACCGTTAAGGTTTTGACCAAAAACATAATGACGTTTGACAGTTGATTTTGATAAGGATTGATTAAAGAAAATCGGCATTAAAACTCAAAAAAAATTAATGAATTCTTAGTAGAATATTATTTCCGGTGTATATTGAAATATTGGGAAGTGAAGAAGAAATAAAGGGTGACCAGTGGGAATTTTTCAACTTCAAAAATGATTATTTATTACTAATGCAAACTGGAGTTTAACAATGCGGATTTAATTTTTTATAGGTAATGTCTTATAAATGATGCCCGTTTTACTCTCACTCTCACAGCCGGATCCTTACATTCGCAACTATGCGAGAGCAAATCGCGTTAATAATTTTCCTGCAACTTCACGGCGGATATTTTCTTACAGAACCTGAATTATTTAAGGATTGTTTACTATAAACTTTTGACTTGAGATATCCCCACAAGAAAAAGTCGCATCTGGTGACTGAGGCGGCTAGGGTGTGTCCCTGTACTTGCTGATCCTCAGTGTCTCCATCGAGGTACTCTCCTTGTGTGGTGAGACACCTTCTTGCTGAAATAGAGTTACGTAGTTGACCGGGATGCAGTTGCAATTGTGGTATCAGACATTCATCGATCATTCGACAATACATTTCAAATACTTAATGCTCAACTGCGAACGCTCTGTAGGCTCCTGACCAGTGACTCATGGCGTATTTCAAATCCGCATTAGACTCTATTTTGAAACAATTAAACTTACTGAAAACTCTTTGGTTTTATTTGTATTCAATTTTGAAAATTCTAGCTGGACACCCTTTACAACGTAACCTCTCTTCACAACTTCAAAAGAGTGTGACAATACCGCGTCTGTTTAAGTCTGATTGGAACCATGAGTGCACCAGATTCACTCCCGAAGATATCGGAACGATAAACGTCACCATCTCATTCACGTATTTCTGATATTCGGTTTGACCGAAGCTTCGGCTGGTTTTTGGCCGAAAACGAAAATATGGCCGAATGTCCATTTTTGGCCGAAAATGGCCGAAAACGAAAACGAAAACGAATATTCGGTCGGTCACTAACTCAAACATTAGCGGAAGAATGGTGGGGCGCGTCTTCGTGGATGAAATGACCTATAATATTGAAAGTAAATAGAGATTATGTAAATGCCTTACATTTGAAAGCAATAAATTGATGTTGTGGTAAAAGATGACTTTAAATTATTTGTGTACAGTCAGCGTCAATTAGTTTGTGACACCCAAACGATAGTCTGAAATTAGTTACATTTTTGCGCACATGGGGCTGTGCGTATCAAAATAATTTACCAAAGTTTTGAAGATCACCAGCTTTTCATGTTTTTCTTCAAGGTCCATGAAGACCTAACTTTCCTAACCTTCACCAGAACCTAATCTTTTTAGCCAGATTCATTTAGAAAGTAGGTAAATTTTATTTTGATGACAGGCGCCCCATTTGCGCAAAGATGTACCTAACTAAGTAACAACACCCGTATTCACAAACGATGCTTGCTTAAGTGAAGCAGCAAATCGAACGCACAGCGTTGAATAGAGCTCCCTGATTGGTTCGTGTCACCCTGTGCGTCCAGGCGCACTGTGAGACCTCATAGTATTGTTTGTGAATACGGGCGTAAGTAGGTAATTTTTAGTAAAAAAAATGCCGCTTGAGATGAACAAGTCAAAATTTTAATAAAAATATCCGAAATTATAAACGAAACTATTCTTCATGAAGACTTCCGCACGGTGTTGTATACGTCTGTCCTTCTCTGGGCCCTTACAGGCCATTGTTTTCTCACTTCCTCCACGACATTAAAGTCTGTAAAAAGAAAATTACTAAGTATACCTAAAGCCCGGTCTCCGAGCACGTAGAATTTTGTCCAATGACCCCAAGCTACCCATCCTTATCGCTCGCGAGTAATTATGTTGCTGTCGCGCTTGCACACTGACTGCGGGCGCGCGTCGCACAGTCGCGACAGCAATATAATTACGCGCGAGCGATAAGGATGGGTAGCTTGGGGTCATTGGACAAAATTCTACGTGCTCGGCGACCAGACTATACCCTACAAGTATCTATTACCTTGAGAGGGCTATTCTCGGTGTTTCTTTACGAGATCGAATCAGAAATCAGGAAATCCGTAAACGAACTGAAGTCCTTGACATAGCCCGACGGATTAGCAAGTTGAAGTGGCAATGGGCAGGGCACGTAGTACGCAGAACTGACGGCCGATGGGGCAGCAAGGTGGAGTGGAGGCCACGTACCGGAAAGCGCAGCGTAGGACGTCCACCCACAAGGTAAACCGACGACCTCATAAAAGCAGGAAGGCGCTGGATGCAGGCCGCTACCAACCAGCTTTTGTGGAAATCATTAGGGGAGGCCTATGTTCAGTATTGGACGTCCTATGGCTGAAATGATGATGATAAGGATGGGTAGCTTGGGGTCATTGTACGAAATTCTATCTGCTCGGCGACCGGACTTTAGTGGTACTAAACATCGCTACTTACCGATGTCTTCCAGTATCGTCCCAACATTCTCGTCCAGCTCGGCCTTGATGGTTCCCCAGGGGTCAACGAGCATAGAATGTCCCCAGGACTTATACTCGGTGTCGGGGTCACGGGCGGGGCCCACTAGCGCAACCCACAGCTGGTTCTCGAAGGCACGAGTGCGCCCGAGAGCCTCCCAGTACCGCGACCCAGTCACCATGTGAAAATCGCTCGGGAATATTAGAAGAGAACATCCTGGAGGTTACAAAACATGAACATCTAATATTATAATTAGCGCCCTTAACCATTTAACGACATTTTTTTTATCCACAACGAGGAAGCTCTTGGCCTGTATCTCACCTGATGGTAAGTGACGATCAAGCCGAAGGTGGAAGCGAGCTTCGCCCGGAATCCTCAACCACGGAGGAACTGGCTATCTTACCTCTAACTGCCGGAACACAACAATGCTGTTAACATTGTTGTTATGGCGACAGACTTAGGTAAGATGGTGGTAGCTAGCCAGGCGGACTAAGAACGAGCCCTACCACCAACCAAACCGAACAGAAAAATCTGCCCCCACTGGGAATCGAACCCGGGACCTCTGCGTCTGAAGCAGATGGTTTTGCACTAGACCACAGAGGCGGTTACACATAGCGACAGAAGAGAGATTAATCACAGCAAGAATAGATTCTCTGGTTACAACGCCCGTTTTCACAAACATTACTATGAGGTCTCACAGTGCGCGTGGACGCAGGATGACACACGAACTAATCACAGAGTTCTATTCAAAGCTATACGTTCGATTTGCTGCTTCACTTAAGCAAGCATGTTTATGAACACGGTACGGTTTAGCGCTTAAAGACAGTGCCTGATGTATGGAAGGGGTACCTGAACGACATAGTGAAGAGACGACAGAAGAATAAATAAAGATAGTTATCTGGTTATACTACAAAATACAACACTAGTAAGTACCTAATATAAGTTAACTATATGCTCTAAACAATACGAGGTACGCGCTTACTTGATGCGCGACAGTCTACAGTACACTCTCAAGAGAGATGAGTGAGTAATTAAGTAAAAGTTTAGGGTAGTAAGTAACTATTAAACAGGGTGTCCCAAAAACTAGTGTCAAACCAAAGCCCAGCCGGTAGAGCATCACTAGGGCTACCCGAATCACCCCTTGTATTATAATCATCAATATAAAATATGTTACGGTTAATGTGATAAATTGAAAATTATGAATAATCGCCGGTTATTATGAATAATTACCGACAGTTGAGGTAAAAGTGATAAATTATTTAATAATGTAACCTTAATACTAACAAATATCATGAAAGAGAACACCTCGTGTACAGCCACACAGTTTGGACTCTGGGCTTCGGCTTAACGCTATTTTTGGGACACCCTGTATTTATAGTTCGACTGACCATCTTGAGCCATGAGCTCCACCATCTCAGGAAAGCAGATGTCGAAGCAGATGCCGAGGCCAATCTTGACGCCGTTGAACACGAAGGTGGTTATCTGGTCTCCCGCCGACACCAGCTCCGATTCCCTGTGCGTCACCTTGTTCGGGATGTCTATGTCGTACAGGTGCATCTGGAATCATTTTAATAAGCAAGTTAGTGCTAGGTTAGTACCTATTTAAAATGTTTGAACTTGTAGTATAGGCACAGAATAATAATAAGTACTTCGGTAGGTATAGGTACTAACTAGGTTACTCGTAGGTCCTGTACTACTTTTTTCGCAAAAAGATCCCCATAAGTAATGATGAGTTTGTTGATTTAATACAGCACAGTAACTAACTAGCTAAGTAACTAGTTATAGCCTAGCTAGAAGTTTCATAAGTTCTTAAGACAACTTATTTTTTTACAAGTATCAGTTTTTATTGTTTAATCTGCCCAAAAAAACAGTCACAAACTCAGATTTGTGTATCTCTAAAAAATCGCAAATTTTTTTTATGGAAAAATGAACTGTCTCAAATTCTCCACACAAAACGGCAATTTCATACTTTAAAAGGTCCAGTCCACTTTGATCACCTGGATTCGATTACCCAGGTGATCAAGGTGGACTCCAGACGACACTGTGGTGTCTTTTGATCACCCATGGATAAAATCAAAGTGGACTTCTTATCCATGGGATCAAAGGACACCAAAATGTCGCTCGGAGTCCATTTTGATCACCTGGGTCGTTCAAATCCAGGTGATCAAAGTGGAATAGACCTTAAATAAAACCGAACAACGGGCTCAATTTCTCCGATCACTATCGTCGCTGCAGGAGGCCTACTGTAGCAGCCTAGACGGGCTTCTTGCTTTGGGGGATCTGCGGTGGTTGGAGTAGGAAGATAAATCACAAATCGCGCACAATTGCCCAATCATGAGGCTAAGTGTGGTATTCGATTGCCCTGCAAAACTAACTAACTAGACCTTAAAACCTAATACTATACCTTCCTGTGTCTTGCCAGCAACGACCCGTCGCTGTCCCACACGGTGCAGGTGTTGTAGAGGGCGCTACCGTCGCGCTCGGGCAGCGTGCCGCCCACAACGCACACACCTGCCTCGGCCGCGGCCTCAGACAGCGCGCGACACGCTTCCCCCGATGGCACTTCTTCCCAGTCAACTACCATCATATTTAGTATATTTAGTTATATAGAAAAAAAGAGCGTTTATTAAAATCTACGTTATTCTGCCGCCTACCGCGCATACGCCTGCCTCGGCCGCGGCCTCAGACAGCGCGCGACACGCTTCCCCCGATGGCACTTCTTCCCAGTCAACTAATGTACCATAATTTACAATGTGATTTAGTTAGGCGATTAGAGTCCTCAATCCGCGTCAAATGGGCATTTTGTAAAGCATACTCCTCTTTTACTGCTGGACAGAAATAGTCAAGTTAAAGGTAAGACCGCATTTGCGCGACGCAGCGCGGCACTGTACAAAACGTCAATTTGATACTTTCAGTTATTTTGTATGGATGGAGTGATATTGCATTATGAGCGCGCTTGACAGAACAGTTAGTACAGTTACCTAGTCTTATATAATAGTTTGACGCGCAGTGCAGCAGTGCAGCGCCGTGCAGATGCGGTCCGACCTTAACTGCGCACCTGATAGCCGTGACGTCACATCGACGCTCTACGGACGGGACGGACGCGGGGATGGGATGTGAGCCGGTAAGTGCGAGGGAGTCGCATTCCAACAAGGTGCGCAGTTAGCTCGACCGGCTTGTAAAAAAAAACGCCTTGCCACTGCAAGCCACGGAGAGCGTTATAAATACTCCGTTATTTTCCCTAATCAAGCTTTAAACAAAAAATACCGCCGTTTATGATTTTGATTTGTTTTTTAAAAAACAATTTTAATTGCGATCGAAAAAAATACAGATAGGTAACTACGTATTGTTTTCCGAGTGCGTGTAAAGCCACCCACGCGTGCCGAAAACTGTATTACAGGAAAAATGCACTATAATATGTGCGGTGGCCAGATTTGGTTCTAACTTGTATCTGTTATCTGTTTTTTTGTTATCTGATTTTGTGTGCTATATTTTAAGTTGGAACCAAATAAATGTTTTTCTTTCTTTCTTTCTTTCTAATATCGTGCGGATTTCTTCACGGACGCGGGATTGCCCCGCATGCGTGCGTGACACCCGCTAGTGTCCTTTTGATTCGTTCGTTTCAGCCAAATGACGTCCATTGCCGGACAAAGGCGTCCCCCAAGGCTTTCCATAACGACCGGTCGTCCTGCGCTGCCGCCCTTTTCATACAAGTAGCTGGGTACTTCTCATTTTCACTCAAATTTAATGGTCACTCAATAATAGTTCATAAACGGTATAAGTTAGAACAATAACTTTGATATCAGATGATAAAAAATCTATTTAGCTACATACAAAATAAATTTTATCGTAATAGAAGCAAAAATAATACGAAAACATCACATGAAACGATACAAAACGGGGTCATTTTTCGCATTCTCATCGTGTCACACCTTCGGTTGCAATGAAACATTTGGTTACTGCATTCACAATTTTCATTCAATTTGTGTGTAGCATATACTTAAATCATCGTAATTAAATATACTTTCCACACAATAGTCAAAAAAATATCTTCTTATAATTATTTCGAATTGAGAAAGCGAAATACGTTGGTCACACGATTTTAGGTACCTAAAATTTTGGGTAATAATACAAGATTGCCGTTAAACCGAACACCAGCAACCAATCACAGCGTTCTATTCGGTTAACGTCTGTCGTGCTCCAGCCATTGGGGAGGTGAGATAGGTCGATCGTCGCTCCGCGAAAAAAATACGTAACTTTTTGTGATTTTCCATAGACATACCGTCGCTTGCTTGAACAATATTTTCTACCTCTAAAATTTAAACAATTTAATTGAAACTTAGGCTATTGAAAACTTAAAATGTTAGGCTTATTTGTATAGTATTCGACTTGAACCGTTAAATTCAAATTTAAGGATAATTCATAAAAAACTAAAATTTTCGTCACCTTCGTGGCATCACCTTCGTGGTGTTTTATACACGAAGGTGATTTTAGGGCACGAAAGTGATTTCTTGCTTTGGTTTATTTTAAAATATAGTGACTGGTGTTTATGTTTTTACAATATTTTAATAACTAATAAATTATACGTGGTAAGTAGAGTTCAACCCGCCTGCCAAGCGTGGAGATTATGGCAAAACCCTCCACTATAGTGGAGGAGGCTCATAGTCCAGCAGTGGACTGTAAAGGGCTGTTGATGATGAAGTAGAGTTCAGTACATCAATAAAAAAATAAGGGCCTCGTATTTTTGTTGTCTGTATGTCTGTATGACTGTATGTATGTCTGTATGACTGTTTATGTCTGTCTGTGTATCTGTTTGTAAGATAAATTTAATCTGAAATGTCAGTTAAAAGTTGTACAACAAAAATACGAGGCCCTCTGGCCTCAATAAAAAATATATTTTTGTTGAGGACTGATAATTAATCAGTTAGAGTTCTTTATTATTGAGGTACTGATAATCCTTTTTTGCTTTTTTAGCATTTCAGAATGCCACCAGTATCACCCTTAAAACCAATTACGTAGAATCTTGTAACTTAGTAGGTGACGTTATCGGTAAAATTTTATCTTGTATTTAAGTAGGTACCTATTTATATTATGTTATTGATATTTATCTATGAAAATAAGACAAAATTATATGTTTTATAAACACTTAAGAGTCATTTACAGTGGTAAAGTTTGAAAAAAATATTGCTGTGAAGTACAGAATCACTTTCGTGGCATCAACAAATTCAAAACGTTAAAGCTTCCAAACGGGACTCACTATTTGACTGATTTACTGAGAATACACTCTTCACATCAAGCGCTACAATTTTTGTTTACAAAAAGTTGAAATAAGTTAGAAATAAAATTTGCCACGAAGGTGACGATGAGAACCGTGGCGATGAGAAATACCCAGCTAACTATTTTTAATCGTTTCTTTCTTAAGCAGTTTTGTTTTTTCTAAAATTCGTGTTTAGCCGACTATTAATTGTGCAATAATGGTGAATTATTAACCATTAAGTAAGTGTTCGTGAACGTGCTTGAGTGTAATGTGTAGGCTTGAGCGATGGCGATGGATGGATTTTACGATAAAATGGCGTTAAAAATTTTTCGCGTACACGCAATGATTTGATCGAACCTTGAAGTTATAAAAGAAGTAAGTACTTACTATTGTGCTCGTACTTATAACATTCTGGCAGGGCTACCAGCTGTGCGCCTCGTTGCTTGGCCTTGTGGATCTCCTTCACAGCGGTCGCCAGGTTTTTCGTCTTGTCCGGGCACCATAGCATCTGCACCAGAGCTATCCTCAATCCTAGAATTAGGGATGACTTACTTATACCCGTTTTCACCATCAATCCCTAATTTTTTTAGTGACCCCTATGGTAACATAACAGGAATTTTGTTTTCACAAGTCACTTAAAAATTAGGGATTGATGGTGAAAACGGGCAGTAAGGTCCTATGTCCCCTAGATGGGGCAAAGGGCGTCCACGACAGTCCTCCATCGCGTTCGGTCTTGAGCTTCGTGTTTGATCTCGCTCCAAGTCTTGCTGCTTTTCCGAATTTAGGTTGCCATCTCTAAAATTTGGCAACCAGGACAAAACGCGTGAAAACCCCGGATTTTGGAGCCCAGAACCCGGATATGTCAACAGATTTTTATAAAAATTAGTCGCATTGGCCTAAGACTTTAAATTTTGTATACCCGGACAAATTAAACCCCACCCGGACGGACGCCCTCTAAACTAGGACAAATCGAGGGAAACCCGGACGGACGGCAACCTTACCTGGAATCAGTTTAGAAAATGCCATTAGATAAGTAATAAATATTTAAGTAGTTACTATGTAGTTCTAGCACTGTATTAACACGGTGAACGGTGCCATTAATAAGTAATAACTAAGGCGATTGCTAGTTATATGTGTAGGTACTAGTAATCCGAAAAATTGAAGACAAAGAATGCGACTTGATTTTTAAGGTTCCGTACATCAAAAGGAAAAACCGTCCGTTTGTCAAGACCTTTTTAACACGTGGAGGAATCGAGTCTCAGCTGAAAAAAATCAATCTTTAAAAAAAGACGCTAAAAACCTAGGTAGGTCTTACTTATCTATAGGGATCAAAAATTATAGGTTAGGTATTTACCTTTCACCTAGAACTATGAAATTTGGCAAGTATCTATAGGTACGGGTCATTCCATAAAAATCTGTATATTTTCGACGTCATTTTGTCCGTAACTTTTTTAAGATGCTTTTGAATACTTTATTAGTGTAAATTATAGTTTAATAATTAATTATGTTATGTCTAAAAGGGCCAGTCACTTTATGCTTTATTTTAGGAGAAATTATAATTTTCAATTTTTTCATACTACATTACTCCTATATGACTTCTAATAAAGTATAAAACATATAACCTTAACATTTATAGACAAGTTAATATACATAATGTAGTTGTTTTGTTATTATCACTATATAAAAAACATCATTCCCTAACTAGTAATTTAGTCCCAAGTGCCGTTTAAAGCTAGGGCCTGACGCTCTAGGAACTGACGATTTGGAGTAAAACTTAACATAAATGCAGATTAACNTTTGGGTCATTCAATAGTAATTAAAGATGTTTTAAAAATAGTTTCAAAAAATATAAATGGGTGATGAATAAAGCACATTGCGAGCTGTTATTTAAGAATTTTGGAATAAAATATTAACAAATATTTCATGTGAAATGTGGCGCGGACTAAGAGTTGACATATTTTTGTGGAATGACCCATACTTACTTATTACCATCTTATAGTACACGTAAGTACCCGCCTTAATTTCAGGAACAAAATCATTTACATACCTACAGTTTGTATGGAACCCTCGGTGTGCGATTTTATTTTAAGTACCAAACAGTGACGAATTTACAATTTGTTGAAAACGACTGGCTACAACAAGCCAAAAATATGTAATAGGTAAACATATCGTCTTAAGGACTTACAAAGGACCTACAGTCCACATATAAACTGCACGTCATGCGGAAGCTATGCTTGCATCTTGCGTAAAATCAATCAAAAATATCAAAACTGTGTTCACAGAGCGGCACATTTATTTGGACATGATGTGTATTTCTTTCTTATTAATACTGCAATTGTTTATTATTAATAAGAAAATATATTAAAAATTTGACATGTAATGAACATTATGAATAAATTTCTTATTCTTATTCTTATTCATCACGCTCTACCACTTGTCATCATGCGTTCGTATGCCAAGCGGTGCATGTGTCGCAGTCGGATTGTATTATCCGCCGTTTTACATTACCACTAGGCATTTTACATTACAGCTCTGTTTTGTAATACGGCGGTTCAACGTTTAGGCGGATTGTCATTGCGATACGTTCTTCAATACGGCGGCCCACGTTTAGCCGCATCGTATAGATGACCCACGCAGAGCCCCGATTACGGTAATTTTTAACGTCAACAATCCAGACACGCTTCTCGATTCTGCTATACGATTGGTCGTTCAACAGCGTACGTCAGCTGTTTTGACCAATCGTATCGCAGAATCAGAAACGCGTCTGGATTGTAGACGTTATAAAAGTTACCGTAATCGGGGCTCTGAACTGTCCCGCCAAACTCAATGACAGAGGGGCGCTACCATCGTTCAACTATATGGTTTCCAACATGGCAAAAATCTGAACCAGCGATCCGGTATTGACGGTGGCGCCCCACTGTCAATGTCATCGACAGGACAGTCCAGTATTTTGGAACTATATTACTATAGATTGTAGGGTGACCATACTTACAAAATAAAACAATGTTTAATGAAAATAAATTTTAATAAGACAGATTTAAGAATTATTACCTTCGTCACTGTATACTAAATAATATATTTGGCTTCAGTATTTTTTTTACTTATTTATAAATCACAAGGGATAGCCATCTAAAAAAAAGTAACTCAAAACAATTAGACTTTTCTAAACATTTTAAGAATTAATTAGATATTTGGCTTTAGTCTTTTTTTTTAGACATTAAAAATGATCAAAGGGAACAGGTAACTCAAAACAATAAAGTTTTAGTTATTTTTTCTGGGTTATTTTTCTTTAAGATAAAATTATCTTCACCGGCCACAGCCATGATTTCATATTTTTACACTAATAATATTGCGTAGGATTCCACCGAACACCAGAATCCATAGCCACTTTGTCCGGCAGCGCCACGGTATTGAAAATAGGAACTAAAAACTGTCAAAGCGGCGGGTAATGACACGCTGTTTTACATTACGGCTAGCCGTATTGAAGAACGTTTAGCGCCGAATACATTCCGGCGGATTTTCATGCAGCCGTATTAAATCCGGCTAAACGTTAATCCGCCGTATTACAAAACAGAGCTGTAATGCAAAATGCCTAGCTGTAATGTAAAACGGCGGATTATACAATCTGACTGCGACACATGCATTCGTCAAATGACGTAGGTACCTACTATCGGCAACAGTGTTAACTACCCATTGCCAGTCATGTCACCTCGTTCTATCGCAAAGAATCACCATTTGATGAGAGCGAGAGCAAAAACGGAAATGGATAGTTAACAGTGTGGCCGTGTGTACCGTGGAAAATGTGCCTTACTTCAACTGGGCCCCGATTGCGCTAATTCGCATTTCAACTCCAGTCGTGCGCGAGTCAAACGCAAACGCAAGTCAAACGCTTCACGAACATTTGCTGTGTTTTAGTCATTTTAATTTTAAAAATAAAGGGTGCGGACTTTTAATGGAAAGTGCATAATTCCGTTGTTTCGTCTTTACGTGAACTTTACCGCGATACCGAATTGCACATCAGCTGGAATGACAATGGAGCGTAAGTCGCGCGCAACTGGAGAAAAAACGCGAATGAATTGGAGACATTACAAATTAGCGCATTCGTGGCCCTGGTCAATGTGAACGCGGCTTTCTAATTTAGGTACTATACTATAATCTAATTCGATAAAGAGCGTGGCGCGTGGCGAGGCTGAGCTGAATGACGTAAGCCATATTTTTTTCAAGTGAGAATAAACATTTACAAATTTCGATAATAACCAATTGGTCTTCCTTGAGTTAAAATCGTAGCGATTCGTTGCGACGCATTTATTTTGAAATGCTTTGAAAACTTCTTTTGTGAACAATACTTTGTAGTAACTACCAGAACATATTTGCTTTTGTGTTTAATTTTGTCAAAGATCTTGTTTTTCGCACACGGTATATCCAGTCCTTTTAGATAAGTGGTAAACAAGGCGAGTGAATAGGCACTTACAGGGCAGATATGTACCATCCTAGACTGCAACTCACTTAACACCAGGTGCTAATTAAAAATTCAAATATCTGCCTTGTCTTACATAAAAAACAGTACCTAATACAAAATCGCTTCAGGAATCCGGATATGTCAACAGGTATTTTTTAATACTTAGTCGCATGGCATCGGCTAAGAATTAAATTTCTAAACTCGGATTACAAATGAAACCCCGCCCGGACGCCCCAAATCCGGGGAATCCGGACGGATGGCAACCCTACCCCTAGTCAATAACGTGTGAAATAAAACTAAGGTTAAGTAAATAAAATTATTTAATAATTATTGCGAATTCACAACAAAAGTACAACCATTTCTATACATACAACTGAAACAACATACATATTTTGTTAAACCACGCAAAAGTCTACCTTCCTCCTATGATCATAAAAACTAAATCAGTCGTATGGACTACAATAAACATACTCCATTTTGCAGTTAACTTCATCATGCAGTTAACTGACAGATAAATTATTAACTGCAACAAATCGCCAAAGAGTACAAGATAATTTGACCCTTATAAGAAATTAAAATCAAAGTAAATATTATTTCATAAAAATTTATGAATAATAAACAGTTTTGGCTGAAACGAACGAACGAACGAACGAAACAGTTTTGACCCTTTCTAACTTATTGTTATAGGTTCTATAACACCTACTAAAACGTTCGTTTTATCCACGAAGACGCGCCCCACCAGTTTTTACTCGAAGTCACGCGGGGTGCGGGGTTTGATCCGAGCAATCCGAGCGGCATTATTGTAGTGTGCGTGTGCACTCATGGATGATTTAGCGTGTACCGATAACACTCAAACATTAGCGGAAGAATGGTGGGGCGCGTCTTCGTGGAAGAAACAATCTATAACGTTTTTCGGAGTAACCCCACTGAACTAAAAACTCGTAATTTTTATATAAACCTTTGAAAATTATAACTTGGCTTCGGACGGCATTAAAAATACAAACAATCATTTTAATGAACAATTTCTGTTCTGGAAATTCTATTAAAAAAAAGTATTTAAACTTACTAACGCCCGTATTCACAAACATTACTACGAGGTCTCACAGTGCGCGTGGACGCACAGGGTGACACACGAACCAATCACAGAGCTCTATTCAACGCTGTGCACTCGATTTTCAGCTTCACAAGCAAGCATCGTTTGTGAATACGATTGAGGGTTTTCGCGATTGAAAAATCCGCCAGATGGCAATACGTAGACGCGAGGTCCAAATGCTGCATGATTGGTGGATTTTGACATATCAGTCGATGTCATGTCAAAAATAACCAATCATGCAGCATTTGGACCTCGCGTCTACGTATTGCCATCTGGCGGATTTTTCATTCGTGAAAACCCTCATTGGATGTGTACCAAAAATATTTAATTTATAACCGAGCTTGTAATGGAAGATCTAGTAAATCAAATTTCCAACCCAATTAAGCACTCATGCGATGTGACGTCACGGCCGCCCAGGTGCGCAGTTAACTCGACCGAGTTGTAATGTAACTATGTAACTTAAATGAAACATAATAATATTAATTACATATTTACATTGTTAGCTATTTAATAACTATTTAATTAATTTTAACTATAATTTAAAGGGCAATGTCTCATTCTAAAATTATTTATTGCACAATAAATATTTTCTATTTCAATTCACTTTTCAACTCTTTTTACAATTTATTTATAACAATATTTTAACTCTAAAAAGTCAATCAATTCATTGAGATTATATTTTATGTAGAACAAAAAAACCTTACAACTTAGAACGAGTAACATTGTGATGTTTGTAACTGAATTAATTAATTAAGGTAAAGTAATTTAAATATTACCCTTTCATACAACTCCATACAACAAGGTAAATAATAAATAAATAAATGCTTAAAAATCTGTAAATAATAATTGGTTCATTTGAAACCTCTAAATTATTATAACATAAATCTGTGATGCACATAATGTATTAAAATTACATAAGATAAAAACACTTTTGTGTGGGTACTAAGTGTCAAAATTATTTATTTAATAAAAAAAATTATAAGCCTCCATGGTACGAGTTAGGCACCTTTTTAAAAACATTTTTCTGTAAAATCCTGTCGCAATGGTACCCCAATCCAAACCACAAAATATAAAAGAAGATAACTTCTTAATCATAACAAAACTCATATTAACAGTTTCTCTTCATGAGTAGTTGGCGCCACTGTCGATTGACCTTACTGTACAATAGCGCCACTCTAAAGCCCTGTCTGCGAGCACGTAGAATTTTGTCCAATGACCCCAAGCTACCCATCCTCATCGCTCGCGCGTAATTATATTACTGTCGCGACTGTGCGACGGGCGGCCGCAGTGAGTGTGCGAGCGCGATAACAACATAATTACGCGCGAGCGATAAGGATGGGTAGCTTGGGGTCATTGGAATAAATTCTACGTGTTCGCAGACCAGACTATAGTGAGTGCATAATGCGACAGTCCTACCGCTTCAGCGCTCTTATGGCGCCACTATCTTAGGATTACAGACACGTGGCAAGATATTGGTGCAATATTCAAACTCCTCGCATTCCGCAAATAAGTATATTTGAAACAATTTATAAAATGATAAAAAGAAAGAAAAGTAATTTTATTCAGTGACACGTTAGTCTGAAAACAAGATAGCGGGCATAATGGAAGACAGTTTCGTTGATAAAAGAATACATCGCAAAGAATTCTTGCACAACTTCTAACACAGTATGAACACACATATTTTGTGCGTCTTCACAAATATCTTGACACTTGTCTGACCAGAATTTGCCTCCAGCTATAGTCCGGTCGCCGAGCACGTAGAATTTCGTCTAATGACCCAAGTTACCTATCCTTATCGCTCGCGCGTAATTATATTGCTGTCGCGACTGTGCGACGGGCGCGAGCGATAAGGATAGGTAGCTTGGGGTCATTGGACGTAATTCTACGTGCTCGACCGGACTTTAGTGACAAGGCTCTACAGTGGCGCCAACTGGAATATGGTAGCCTTGGATCGGTACGGTAGCTTTCACTGCCCACTTCGGCTAAAGATTCTACTAAAGCTACCATTCCCTACCAATTATGGACTGCTCGCTTCACTCCTGGCCGCTTCATACTCGGACAGCGTTATAGCATGATTCGATAGCATATGACTCTTCAAACTGCACTTCTGAACGAACGCGGAACCGCACACACCGCACTTAAAACGTCTATCGTTATTATGTATACGCATATGCTCTCTTAGAGTCTTCTTTCTAGCGTACGCCTTATGACACACTGTACATTTGAACACTCTTTCACCGTTATGTTTGATCATATGCTCATCCAACGACTGCTTGATAAAAAATCCTTGACCGCACTCCGCACAGATGTGATTCCTCTCCATAAGATGAACTTTTTTAATATGAGACGTTAATTTAGACTTCAAAATGAAGGACTTCACGCATATATTGCACTTGTAACTCGCTGCCACTTGATTGTGTTCTTTAAACATATGCCTATTGCGTTGATAATAGCTTGTAAACGATTGGTCGCAGTGCGGGCAGTTTGTTGTGTATCTAGCACTAGTGTTGTGAGTATATTTTTCGTGACAGGCTTTTCTCACTCGAGTCGTGAACACTTTATCGCAGTATGAACACTTAAACGTACCAATATCATGTGTGCGTTGGTGATTTTTCAATCTGTGCTTATTTATGAAGCCCATATCGCACACTTCGCAAATGTAGTTTCTATAATGCCCGTTCATGTGTTGTAGCAACATTTTGAACGTCTCATACGTGGAGTTACATAACGCACAGTTTAAAATTTCTGTGTCCGTTAATTTGAATTCTAGGATGTAGTCGTTTGCGTCCGGATAAAATTTGATGTCATGTTCGTTTGTTAGATGTATCTTCAATAATGATATTGTGTCGGCGTGGGCGTTGCAAATGTTGCATTTCAGATCTGTTATATCAATTTTGATGGACAAATTGTTTTTATCCATTCGTTTGTTGTCATGTAGCTCGTCATTTCTGTGGACTTCTTGAGTGTGGACTCTCAGATCTTGCGGATCTTGGTATGTTTCTTTGCAGTAAGCACAGGATATGCCCGCTATGGTTTTGTTCAGGAATGGAGTGCAGTTGGAGTATTTCAGGATGTTTTCTACGTTCAGCTTGTGCATTTTGTTCTCGCTGACGTATCGACATGAGAGAGGCTTCTTCAGTTTTTCGGTGAGTGTCCGGAGAGAATACTTGAGAGGGTTCTTGAGGAGTTTCTTTTCTGAAAATGATAAAGAAATGTTAAAATTTTCATTCTGTTACAAGGGAAAGGAAATAATGACTATGTTTCGTCTTGAACTGTCAAAGCGCAGGGATCCTGCCATGCTCCCCTCACTTGAGGCAGAATGTTCTCTCAATCACCTGGATCAAAATGAAAGGGTCTAAGAGACTGCCCTGCCTAAATACCTGTATTACCCCTCTGGGTCACAATGCCCTTTCCTACTGTTCCAGAATTCATACGGTACTAGAATGCCCCCTACTGTTCCATAATCCTCCTCTACTATTCCCGAATACCTCCCCAAAGTTCCAGAAACCCCTCAACTATTCCAGAATGCCCTTTACTTTTCCAGAATCCCCTATACTATTCCAAAATACCCCCAACTGTTCTAGAGCCCTCTTCTACTATTCAAGAATGCCCCTTACTATTCCAGAACTCCCCACTCACCATTCTTGTCAAGCAGAAGGCGCTTCTTCTTCTTAGCGAACTCCGCAAAGTTCTTGTCGTCGTCGCTGCTGTCGTGTTTCAGTTCGTCATACTTTTATATTTTACGCCTACCTGAAGTGTCTAAGAGCAGGGGACCCAACTGATTTTCGTATTTCAGAACGCCCCTTACAGATCCAAAATACCCCCTATTATTCCAGAATACCCCCTACAGCTCCAATATACCCCCTATAATTCCAGAATACCCCCTACTGCTCCAAAATGCCCCCTATTATTCCAGAATACCCCCTACTGCTCCAAAATGCCCTCTATTATTCCAAAATGCCTCCTACTGCTCCAAAATGCCCCATATTATTCCAGAATACCCCCTACTGCTCCAAAATGCCTACTACTGCTCTAAAATGCCCCCTATTATTCCAGAATACCCCCTACTGCTCCAAAATGCCTTCCTATTATTCCAGAATACCCCCTACTGCTCCAAAATACCCCCTATTATTCCAGAACCCCTCCATAATGTCCCGGGATGATTGACTCACCGCTTTTGTCAAGTAGCAACCGTTTCTTTTTCTTAGCAAGCTTCTTCTTGAGGCCGACGCCGTCGAACAGCATCTCCGCTAAGTTCTTGTCGTCGTCGCTGCTGTCGTGCTTTAGTTCGTCGTACTCGGATAACTCGTCTTTTAACGCTGTAATAGTACAAATAGGGTGTATTATTTACCCGACTAGGCCGAGGAGGCTCAAGGTCACCCAAAGGGCTATGCTCGGAGTTTCCCTGCGTGATCGAATCAGAAATGAGGAGATCCGCAGGAGAACCAAAGTGACCGACATAGCTCGCAGATTGCTAAAATCAAGATACAGTGGGCGGGGCACNAAAGCTTGTAAAAACGAATCGCCGTAAAACCGACTCCACGTAGTCTTGTCTGCCATACCCCTAGAGTGTAATTTAGAAGCGCGTAGGCACGGAGGGGCGAGGCGGCCCGCGGGCTGAGGAGAACGAATAGCACGCGAGGGACCGCCAGAGCCCCGCAGTGCCGGAGCCGTGACAGAAGTCTCAAGTTTTTAGTCAAATTGCTTGCTTGCTAGCTAACTTGCTTGCTTGCTTGCTTGCTTGCTTGCTAGCTTGCTAGCTTGCTTGCTTGCTTGCTTGCTTGCTTGCTTGCTTGCTTGCTTGCTTTCTGCATGGAAGCAAGCTTTGTGTATTTATTAATCATTACGTACCTAATATCAGTACCAATATCGTTGTGGAAATCCATAGAAATCTCAAGTTTTTACTCAAATTTGCATGTTGTATACCTGCAAGCTTTGTGTATTTGTTAATCATTACCTACCTAATATCAATACCATGGTTGCTGTGGAAATCCATTGAAACCTAATAAATACATAATAATAAATGCCGATTGTTAGTAGAAATTACAAATAAAAAAAAATATACAAAAAAAGTATTTATTATTGCAAACAAACATTTATAATATGTGTTAGAGTTGGACGGGTATCCGCCCAACCAGATGGAGCTGGTGAGGGTTGTACATGGAAGTCCATCTGAAGGTGACTGAGATCGTGAACGACGTAGGGCGCCAGTAAAACGATGACTCATTTTGATACTTTTATTAGATGTTCACAGTTCGGTGTCCGTAATAAGAATGAATCAATTCGGCCGGCTTGCCGCTTTTATAACGAGTCTCCCCCAAGGTGGGGCTTGCACGTGCAACGTAAACTTGTTTTAGTGCAGGTGTTGTTTTGCAGCAAGCCGCTCGTTTTGTTTCTCTTTACAATATTACGTAGTGTTTTAAGACTCACAAATCAACAATATTGTGAATAATTAATTACAGTAAATGAATTTAATATAATAATAGAAAATATTATAAATTAATTATTATTATAACAAATAACTACTTATTATATTTCTTTATTTGTGTATAATTTCGCATTCGCGCTATCACGGCCATGCTGACAAGCAGCTCGTGCTCGAGCTAGCGGTCTCGTTAATCTAAAAGGACAACGTTTATTTTTATTTTTATCCAGACTCAGAGGTTTTAACATGCTTTTTCTGACTAAAGGTTTGTCAAACTCAGCGGTCAAAGACATAGCTTGTTTCAACTGCACTAAGGAAGACGGAACTTTTGTCAAACTCAGAGGCTCTTGGCTTGGATTGGCAAATTCCCGTTCCAGGAATGTCTGTTGAACTCAGAGGCTATTCCGTGACTTGTTTTGACAGGTAGGTAATTTGCTATAGCTTGTTTCAACTGCACTAAGGAAAACGGAACTTTTGTCAAACTCAGAGGCTCTTGGCTTGGATTGGCAAATTCCCGTTCCAGGAATGTCTGTTGAACTCAGAGGCTATTCTAAAGGTTTGTCAAACTCAGCGGTCAAACACATCGCTTGTTTCAACTGCACTAAGGAATACGGAACTTTTGTCAAACTCAGAGGCCCTTGGCTTGGCTTGACAAATTCCCGTTCCAGGAATGTCTGTTGAACTCAGAGGCTATTCCGTGACTTGTTTTGACAAGTAATTTGCTATCCTAAAGGTTTGTCAAACTCAGCGGCCAAACACATCGCTTGTTTCAACTGCACTAAGGAATACGGAACTTTTGTCAAACTCAGAGGCCCTTGGCTTGGATTGACAAATTTCCGTTCCAGGAATGTCTGCTGAACTCAGAGGCTATTCTGTGGCTTGTTTTGACAAGTAATTATTGTGATGGTAATTTTATTATTTTGCTATCACGGCTCATTCAAGATTCGGATTCGGTACTATCCTAAGATGCTCAGTATATAGAGACTTTGTACTTGGCATCGTGTTCTTTGTATTTTTGCAAAAGCACCACGTTATAAAAGATAATCAAAATGATTTTCAAAAAGGTAAATCAACAACCTTAGCTGCATTTAATTTGATTAAAACTATTACGGAAACAATTGATAAAGGAGATCATGTAGCGGTGGTACTGTTTGATATGACCAAAGCCTTTGATTATGTCTGCCATGAGAGACTTCTTCGGAAATGTGAGTTTAATGGCCTGAGAAGTCGTGCACTGCAATGGCTAAGTAGTTACCGACGACAGTATGTCGAAATATCCAAAGTCGATCAAAAATCTAAAAAACTAAAATACTTTAAGTCATGTCCAAAGATAAATTCATACGGTGTACCTCAAGGAAGCATTTTAGGGCCACTTCTGTTTCTAATTTACATTAATGACCCGCCTAATGTAACTGAATTTCAAACGATATTATTTGCTGATGACATTTCGATTATTATCACTTGTAATGACATTATTAATTATGAATTCGACATTAATAAGACGGTAGACAAAGTTGCAAAATGGCTGAGTTGTAATAAACCTCTTTATTAGTGTATCCAAGACTAAATTTATGCAATATTAATAGATTCTAATTTTGTAAAAGTTGCATGCATATCCCGGACAAAACATGTTGGATTTGACATTTTCTATCGCTCATTTTGTTACCATGTTTCTAAGAAAATAAATGATTTATTTATTTATTTATATCGATCATTGTCAATAATTTTTAAGATTTGATTGATACGGCTCTAAGTATTTAGGACTCAAATTATTACCAGACCACTGTGTAAAATAACTTAACTTTAGCAAAGGAACCGAAACGTTTTTTATTCTTTAGAAGACTGTTCGGTTATTCTGATAATGACATTTTGTATGAATATTGTCAATTGCTAATTGGGTATTTGACACCATTTACCAACAATTTTAAAGTTCAACATTTTCAAAAAATAAGTAGGTAAACTTAATTCTGGTCTTAAAAACTTAACTAATCTTAAATTATCTGTAAGTTTTAGGTTGCATTATAAGATTAAGTAAGATTTTGGGTTGAATTGTAATTGAAAAAGAAGTTTGATTGAGTGGACAAAATAGTGACGTTACAGTCTAATATTGCCATACAAGATCTATGGAAGAGTCTCGCTTTGACAGTTTTAAAATTAATTGGTGGTGGCTGAACATCATTGTTGCTCGAAACGGAACCGCTATCGCGCTGCTGGCAGCGAGGCGCGCTGAGCAAGCCCCGCGCGGCCGCAGCCAGCTTGTGCTACTGGTCTTCAAACAGCTCGCGTTACTTCATCTCAGCGTCGGAATCCTCCGTAAGCATCTCGATGTCAATCTGTAAATCGTCAAAAATAGGGTATATGGCATCAAATTTGTTTAAACGCCCTTCCAGGTATTGTTCCTGACTAAGTTCAGTCCAAATCTTAAGAAGTCTAATAAAGTTATTGAAAATGGTTAATTTAGATTTTAAACAGCTACGTTTTTTGGGTAATCGTTAGTGTTCCTTTGATTGGGCCACATTTAGTATTTTATTCAAAAGATGCACTTTGACGTTCATAAGCTTTTTATGGAATGATAAAATAAAAAATGAAAATTAAATTGCAAGGAAATGAAAATTATGCACTGTTATTAGCAATTCTGTAGCGAAAAGAAAAGGAAATAAATTGGAACGAACTCACAAAATACTCAAACCGGTTTCCGACCCAAGTTCGTTTCCTCGCCTTGAACAATCGACTGGTCCAAAGTCCAACTTGCTGGTCGATCGGTAAAAAGCTTCTTTTCTTGAGCTTGAGTGGCTGTGATGCGTGAATTCTTCACCAGGGATGAGACCTGTTAGGTTCCCGAGGAAATATTGCTGAGTTCTTGGAATCTTGGATTTTTCATAAGAACAGGTGTGCGTCGGTCAGGGTTTCCTACTTCAGCATATGGGCGGGTAGTAGGTTCTTCACTCCTCTCTTCTGANTGCCTCAAGACACTGAGAGGTAAATAAGTAGTTAATATTATTCATGATAATTCATGCTAAATCATATATTTCCTCTGCCATTTTCCGCAGTTTGGCACCTCACGTCACATCATTTTACCGAAGTCAGCCCTATAGCTTTGGCGCAGTGCCGATCATTGACGTTTGTCAACAAAATGGTGCTTGACTCTTGAGACAGGCTAAATTACACCATATTGTTAATGACATTGAGCATACATTTTTTTAAATAACTTCGCGAAGTAAAACTTCTGTACGTAGTACTTATTATTATTCTGTGGTTGGGGCAGGAAAGTTCTCGAGTGACGACCACGGGCTGGAAGACGTAGCGTGGGCAGGCCTCCTACTAGGTGGACCGACGATCTGGTGAAGGTCGCGGGAAGAGCCTGGATGCAGGCAGCGCAGGACCGTTCATTGTGGAAAACCTTGGAGGAGGCCTTTGTCCAGCAGTGGACGTCATATTTTGGCTGAAACGAACGATTTACCCGACTGCGCCAGACAGTAGGCTTAAGATGCTCACAACCCGTTGTCCAACACAATGTCCATTGGCCCGCGCCGCATATTTTTTCCGTTATTCACTTTACTACCCGTTCGCGCTAAGTTCGCCGGTCCGTGGAATGTGCGTCCCCTCCCCCAACCGCGATTAAACGCAATTAGTTAGTGATTAAATGCAATTAATGTGTCTTATTTTACGCAAATACACATTTTTTATCAATATTACTAATAAAAATACACTTATAGACGCTTCCCTTCGAGTGACGTCATATCGCCAGCGCCAAACTTATCGCGAACGGATAGTAGGTAGGTACTAGGTATGTTTTATGCATTAGGTTCATGCAAGCATTTTTTTTTACTGAAGAGTTGTGGTTTATCATAATACAAGCAAATAACTGCTTAGAAATTAGTTATTGTACAACCCGGGCGAGTTAACTGCGCACTTGGCGGGCGTGACGTCACTTCGACGATCTGGTACAAACGGGATAAACGCGGGGAAGTGAGTCGCATTCAGCGAAGTGCGCAGTTAGCTCGGTCGGATTGTATATTGTTACTATAGTCTGGTCTGCGAGCACGTAGAATTTTGTCCAATGACCTCAAGCTACCCATCCTTATCGCTCGCGCGTAATTATGTTACTGTCGCGCTCGCACACTCACTGCGGGCGCGCGTCGCACAGTCGCGACAGCAACATAATTACGCGCGAGCGATAAGGATGGGTAGCTTGGGGTCATTGGACAAAATTCTACGTGCTCACGGACCAGGCTTTAGTGATTAAGCATGTGAAATAAATATGTATAATGCAGTTTATAGTAAAAAATAAAGAACTCACGTAAGAAATATATTCCGTTATCATCATCACCGTCTGCTATCTCTTCCTTTACTTTAACTTTTTCTCCTGTAAAAAAGATAAATGATATTTTAATAAGTTAGCCTGTTTGAAAATCAGACCCTTTGTAGATTGTTCCATCCACGACACGAAGACGCGCCCCACCATTCTTCCGCTAATGTTTGAGTGTTATCGGTACACGCTAAATGATCCATGAGTGCACACGCACACTACAATAATGCCTTACGGATTGCTCGGACCACACTCCCCGCACCCCGCGCGACCGAGACCGAAAATTGGTGGGGCGCGTCTTCGTGGATTGATCGATCTAAGTTTTACGAACACGCGTTAGCTGCGCTGTTAAAGTTAAAAAATAAAACTTTATTTTAATCACCTTTGACGAGTATATCTTTGCAACTGGCGAAGTCCCGCTGACACTGCTGCACCTGAAAAAGTTAAAATATTCATTTTTGATTTAAAATAGAAAAGAATTGTAGAATTAATTACAGAACCGATTAAGATGTCACAAAACTTGTTCACCAATTTTATTTATTAGACCCTAATAACGACACAATACGCCTACCTACTCTAAAAAAAAGCATTTAGATTGTATTTTTTATTTAAGGCTCTGCATTTTTTTGTTGCTTTTACGTGAGATTCGCTCACGGTGACAAAAGTCACCCGTGTGCGTCCATGTTAACACTTTAACATACTCATACCTGCATTTTGAAGTCATTCGCATCGCGCAGCCGGCCCACGCACACATCGCAAATTCCACTGTCTCCCTCGCACTCGCCAGTTAGCATCTGAAAATAAAGAGAACTCTATCTTAGTCAGTTGAAATACCAACACAGATATTCAGCAATACTAGTCAGAGTTAAGTTTATTGTGCTCTAAAATACACATCAAATTGGGCAACCCAACATTCTGGGGTGGGCACTAGACCATTCTCTGGGGTAGGCACTGGACCATTCTTGGACCATTTTCGGGTGGGCACTGGACAATTCTTGGACCATTTTAGGGTGGGCGCACTGGACCATTCTGGTGTGAGCACTGGATCATTCTGGGGTGGGCACTAGACCATCTTGGCGTGGGCACTAGACCATTCTGGGGTGGGCACTAGACCATTCTGGGGTGGGCACTAGACCATTCTGGGGTGGGCACTGGTTTTTACTTACTTATTTATTAAAACGTTTATTTAGGTTATTTAATTATCAAATACGTAATTTAATAAATTATTTGACTAAGTAGTTAAAAAAATATTAAATTAGGTACAATTCATCACTTAGTACAAAAGCGCGCTGAGCAAATTACTTTATCAAATGGAACACACAAATTGTTAAGAAGCGTAATTACGTAATTTAAAAATAACTATTACCATATCAGATGTAAGCATTTTATTTAAAAAGTAATATTTAATCATTATTACCATTCAGAATTATTAGGAAGTTTAAAAAATGTAAGTTCTGGTCTTGAAGATGCCGAGTTAAAGTAGCCGTATACTACGCAATACATTCGTGGCATGTTTTTAACAATACAGCGGACAGTGGATGCCTAAAAATTATTATTAAAAACGCAACGCGCGCGACACCCGCGACGGATGGACTGCGAGGTTCGCTTAGAGCTCGTGTAAAGCGTGCGTCTGTGTGCGTGAGTCTGATTTCGAGCATTTGTATGAAGCTTCCGTACTGTTTTGATTTATCTACTGTGGTAAAACGATGACTCATTTTGATACTTTTATTAGATGTTCACAGTTCGGTGTCCGTAATAAGAATGAATCAATTCGGCCGGCTTGCCGCTTTTATAACGAGTGTCCCCGCAAGGTGGGGCTTGCACGTGCAACGTAAACTTGTTTTAGTGCAGGTGTTGTTTTGCAGCAACCCGCTCGTCTTGTTTCTCTTTACAATATTACGTAGTGTTTTAAGACTCACAAATCAACAATATTGTGAATAATTAATTACAGTAAATGAATTTAATATAATAATAGAAAATATTCTAAATTAATTATTATTATAACAAATAACTACTTATTGTATTTCTTTATTTGTGTATAATTTCGCATTCGCGCTATCATATGTGTGTGTAAAGCTGGGTTGCACCATCTTACTTTAACTTTGACAAACGTCAAAAATCTGTCAAAATCCATACAAAAAGCACCGGTTAACGTAATAGTTACGGTTAAAGTTAGGTGGTACAACTTAGCCTAAGTAAAGTAAAACACAAAACATTTGAAAACTTATTGAAGTTTTTTCAAATTTAAATTTGACGCTATTGCTCGCAAGAGTTCGCATTCTGTGTATTCTGTTTTATTCTTAATAATATTATTAATTCTTATACATTTTGAGATGTATATTTTTTTGCGTTTTGGAGAAGGTGTACCATTCTTGAAGCATTCAATATCAGCTAATACTTTTATACTCTCGTGGAGAAGTTCATTTGCCACAAAATAAAAACCAGGATTTGCCGTATCTACAATTGCGTTAAAACGATGATGCCAAGATTCAGCAGAATTTTGAGTAAGTGGTAAACCACGAGACTCTAAATTTGCAATACTCCATACATGTGGTGGAAATTTTGGCTTGTTGTTTCTTCCTACCACGAAGTCCTCGCCGAAATTATTTATAATATTAATAGCATCACGTGAACTCTCTTCTTGTAGTTTTTTAAAATACAGTGGAATTTCGTCAGGTTCAAGAAGCGCCAATGCTAAAAGACATTTTATCTCGATCGCAAAATTTATATTGGTACCATATAACGCACTTTTCCCGCTTTTTTGTACTCTTCTGTAGATTATTTGGCCTAAATGAAAAAAACATCCATTTATGGTAACGTTTTCAAAAATCAGTTTCATGATCTGCATAGCAGCGATCTCGAAGTCCATTATTACATTTTGAACCTTTAGTTCTATATTATTTTCATTGCTGTAGTCTATAATAGCATCAAAAAGTCTATTATATGTCGATTTATCTTTGTTAGAACAAAATGCAAACAATAAAGGATAGGTTTGTCTTCGTTCGTTCGTTCGTTTCAGCCAAATGACGTCCACTGCTGGACAAAGGCCTCCCCCAAGGTTTTCCACAATGAACGGTCCTGCGCTGCCCGCATCCAGGCTCTTCCCGCGACCTTTACCAGATCGTCGGTCCACCTAGTAGGAGGTTTGTCTATTATCCTTAAATATATTTCCATGTATTACATACAGCTGCTGGAAAATTCCAGCTACATGGAATGTTCCATCCATAATCCATAGTTCAGATCTTCCCAAATTTCTCATTAATTCTAGGCTTGAAAGAATTATTATTCTTTTATTTTCTCCAAAAATTTCGTCAAAAATAACAAAACTTTTATCATTTAACTGTAATTTATCGTGATGAATCGTAAAAAATATGTCCTTAGGTTCTAAAAAAGTCGGTTTACCTTTTTTCTTTTGTCTGTAACAAATTTGTCGTAACGCTGATGTAGAAGGCAATTGCGAAAGTTCCAATACATCATGATTTCGTTTACTGTGCTGGAGAATATTACAAGTCTTGCGATCGTAATTGGTCAAAGACTCGCTCTTAATATTTTGTATGACTTCTGTAGTTACTAGTTTTGATGGATTCGGGTCGTGGTTGTGCTTATTGTCCCAGTTTTCCACCGAATGTAATTTAGTCTCATTATCCAACGTAGTAATAGCACGGGATTTGCATTTTTCCAGATTAGTTAACTCACATATCCAATAGAACTTGTTATTCATTTGTCTATTTTTGTTGTAACTGTAACCGTCAATAAACAATTTCAACGAATTTTTGGAACTTAAAAAGGTTTCACATTTAATTATGGAATTCATAATTATACTCGTCGTAACGTCACAAAGTTTTCTTCCAAATAGATACGCAAATCACTGGTAAACAATTTAATTATTTGTGTCATTTTTTTTTATCCCACCTACAACAAAAAATAATTGTTCATATTTACTTTTTACTTTACAATAGTTAAAGAATCTTATGACGATTTTGCTCAGTAGTATTGAATAGGCGTTAATTCAACTTATAATTCTTCGGATTAAGATAAATTTTCATAATCTTGTACTAGGTACCAAACGTACATTAAACAGGCTTATTATAAAAATTGAACTTTATATAAAATTATTGTTATATGGTTTAAGTTTTATAGGAAAAGAATTTTATCTCATTTGATTGTTCGACATTGTATTTTTATATGATTTGAATGGTATTTGTTTTGATTATTATACGTTGTAAGTTTTATAGGAAATATATTCATTATATCAAACCATTTTATATCAGTTGTTAGTTATTTGTCTTAAAATTATTCGTTTTAAAATTATATGATTCGTTTATTACAGTAAATAATTATTATTATCCTGCTTTCGCCTCCGAGATTTATTTTACCGTGTAGGTAGTACCCCTGTACGACAAGCCAATCCGCACACAATATTCAGCGTAGTAGTAGTAAAAAACAAAAGAGCGGGCAACCCCACCCCTACCACGCTGTGGGCTCGGTGTCCGAGCGGTCTCATTTCTTTGTGCGCACGCGCAACGACCGCACGCAGTATAAGAAAAATGCTTAAGTGACGTCACCAGGACGTTTTTACCGACAAAAAACGTAATTATTTTAAGTTGTGCAGTGTAGTGACGAGAATTAGANATGGGGATGTTGCCTGGGTCAAAAAGCAAGAGTTTTAATTAGTCCGTCAGTTAACTTATCAAAAAATACTCTACACGTATTTTTCACTTTTTCAAACTAATGAAAATTTAAAGAGATAAAGCGCCCCAAAGTTCATAAGAAGAGGCCCGTGACGTCAACGCTTGCTTAAAAATGCCGCACGTTGTGACGTCGTGCGCAACTTCAACGCACCATAACTATGTAATTATTTGTTAGATTGACAAATAAAAATATATGTGTCCAATATTTTTTGATATTAAACATTACGGACTAAAAAAATTTTTTTAGGCAACTAGCCTATTCTGGGGCTAGTACTGGATCATTCTGCTGTGAGCAATGGATCATTCTGGGGTGGGCACTAGACCATTCTGGGGTGTGCACTAGTCCATTCTGGGGTGGGCACTTGACCATTCTGGAGTGGGCCCACACACTCACGTAGATGAACACAGTGGTATATGTGTGCATTCAGATACCAGACTATCAGATTTCTCAAGACTAAAAGCACTCTCTCTAAGACCCATTCGTTCGTTTGTTTCAGCCGAAAGACGTCCACTGCTGGACTTAAGATCCATTATAGTTTTATAATCCAGAATTTAAAAAAAAAGAGTATATTGTAATCCGACAAAATACAAATCAAAGAATAAAAATTGACAAAAATGATGTATCAATCAACAGTGATAGGCATGTTGGATAACAGTGGCTGCCAGATAACTGGAGGACACTGCATTGTAAATAAACAATAAAGACTGTGATAGTAGATATTTGTCACTGCTACACTGCTGGCCGAATTTTAATAAAACTTTCTCAACTTCCCCATGTTGGAGCATATTATGGATGCAGACAAAATCATAGGCAAAAGCTACTTTCAAATCAATCAGCTGTGACATTTACACTTTAGTAGAATTTCAACTATTAAAGTTTCAAAGTTATGAATGTTACTGCAGTTTCAGCTACAGAGTCCTTAACTAATTCTGTTGCTTATGGCAACCAACATTACTTGGCCGGAATGTGACATGCAGACAAATATAATAGATCTCTCAACCATCAGCCACTTACATGAATCTCAAAACATTCTTTTAGCATGTCCAAGTACACTTCATTCTTCCCAAGCCTTTGGTAGGATAACTTCAAGTCTTTGTCCGGAGGCCGTGCCAGGCAGCATCGGCAAACCATAGCGGAGTCCATTTTTTACGCTAAAATAAACAGAATTCTGAAATTCCTATTGGAAATTCCGAAAAACCACGGAAAGAAAAGAAAACTGACTGAAAAACAGAGGAGCTTTTTTTGTGCTGAAAATGACAGATTTGACAAGTCGGTGGCCAATTTGACAGTAGTGAGGTGACGTTGTTTATCGTTATTTCATTTGTCGTTGCTACAGTTTACATTATTTTCGAACAAACTGGGCCCCGATTACGCTATTTTTTAACGTCTCCAATACAGACGCGCTTCTGTCTGTATTGGAGACGTTAAAAATTAGCGTAATCGGGGCCCTGCATTCGCAATTTATCTGCTCTTATTTAAATAGAAATTGAAAAAGTTATGGAAAATAGATTTATAAACCCTTTCTAAACATGTTTTTTAATTCAATAGGAAAGTTAACGATATAATTTTTAAATACTCCGGTACAATAATACCGATATTTTATTTTTACCACTGCACTGCATCGACAAACGCCAAAAAAAGTTAGCTAGCTTACAAAATCAGTGTTGCCAGAAGGTTACTTTTGTAACCTTTTTGGTTACTTTTGAACTGCTGTGGTTGCTTTTAGGTTACACTAATGAAAAGGTTACTTTTAGGTGATTTTTCAGAAATTGTAGAATTAACTTTGCAGGTTATTCAGTAAAAAATATTAATAGTGACAATTTAAAAATTATGTCATAAAGTGCATTTAAACTTGAATTTTATTTATTATTTGTTAAGAAAAATTAGTTTTAGCGAATGTTTTTCGATAATAAAACGCAAATCCATGAAACGTTTTTATACGACTGGTCACTTTTCGTATTTAGATGATCCCCCCCGTATAAAGGTTACTTTTTGTTCAAAAAGGTTACTTTTTTTTATATTTCTGGTAATTTCTGACTAGACCCGACTGGCAACACTGTACAAAATGGCGGCGCATCGTCGACGGCGTTTTTGACTGAATAAAAATTGAAAATTTTATAAAATTACTCCGCTGATCGGTTTAGTTAATAAGTAAACGTTTTGTGTAATAAACGCGAAAGATGGAGACGATAAACAACGGCATGTGCCGGTGCTGTGCTTCCGAGGGCACGTTCAAAGATGTCGCGACGAGGTACCAATGGATGGGAGAGGAGGAGGTCTACGGGGAAATGTTACGAGAATGCTTTGATATTACTGTGAGTTTATCAAAAAGAATAACTTAACAAATAAACCGTCCTCAATTCTATTCTATCTTCATGAATCTGATAACCTTAAAAATATTTTAACTCAACATAAAACTTTACATGGATAATTTTTTTAATAGGTGTGAGTTTTATCACCACTTTGAACAAGCAATGGATGATGAATAAATATTATTGTTTACCTGAGTCATAAATCCGCTTCTCAATACTTTTTAGTTTCAACCTGTAAAGTGTAATTTTAATAAAATTGCTTTTCTATAGCTACAGTATTTTGTACACAATCACCTAAATATTTAAGTTTTTTAATAACTAATTAGGTTTTTTTTTTTCAATTTACACATCTAGATGTGTTTCTAATTAGAAATTACCAGGCACATAAATGAACCCATATATTTTAAAGCATTATGTAATTTCATTTAAAATTAATGGATGACAGACCTTCATTAAAGATTTTAAAAGTATAAATAACAACAATTTGGTTGTTTTTGAACAGTTCATATTTATTGCACCTTTTTGTGCATTTAGTTCTTTTCAAATGAATTGTGTCTTTTGTATAAATTAACCCTAAGTGGTCAAATGAGGCTGCTGTAACAATTTATTTCTACAAGGTGTTAGATAAATGGTTATATGAGCCGACACTAGCCCATGTTAACATGGGCATATAAATGGTATGGTGAAGTCAGAAATTTGATATCATTTTATTTTTTTAAATTTTCATACAAAATAAATTTTATAAAGTCCGATTTTTATGATAAATAAAATAATTAAAATGAAGATATCAATTTTCTGACTTCACCATAGGTACCATTTATATGACCATGTTAACATGGGCTAGTGTCGGCTCATATACCCTGTATTGTGCCTTGATTTCAAAGGCTACTGAGATAGTAATAAAACTAATGTCTCTATTATCGACAGCTGGCAGCGTCAGACGACGGCCAGGAGGCGGGCATATGCGAAGTGTGCATCACACAACTGCGTAACGCCGCCAACTTTAAGAAGCAGGTGCAGAGGACAGAGGAGCAGTTTAAGAGGCGGCTGGATGATCTGCCGTTTAAATGTAAGTTTTTATTACAAAAATTACGCTGTTTCTTATTTTCTCAATATTTATTTAGAAACTCAACAGCTTAGTTTGAAATTTTCGTGTTGGCTTAAGGTGCATTAAATCTGAGCCAGTTACAGAGTTTTAGTTTATTTTTTATTAATTATTGTTAACACCATAAGTTGTTCTGCAAAAATGTTGATGTAGTTTTACATTCAACAATAAGATACCTACTGTAAGTAAGCCAATATTTGCAAGTAATATCGATTTAATAAATGTCTTTCTTTCCTGAATAAACATTCTTTCTTTCTTTCTTTCTTTACAAATACATTATCATTTGCTTAATTTTGGGCTTTTTACACACAATTCACTTTTCTGATTAGCAGTAGGATTGAACACAATCATTATTTCTTGCTGGTCTTGTTTTAATTTGTTATAATCCATTGTTACAGCAAACATAGTGAAGGTGGAAGCAAGTCCGTTGGAAGAAGCAGTCGGAGTGTCCGATGACGATGACAAGTACTCCGACGAAATGAGTTTAAGTGGTAAAGTTCTTACGCTTTTAAGCCTAGCTGCACTAATCTGAAGGGATAATGCTACTTCAGACTACAATTTCATTGCAAAATCTAATTAGAATTATGATAATACTAGCATTTGCCCGCGGCTTCACCCGCATGAAATTCAGTTTGTCACAAATCGTCATAAATTATTATGGCTTATATGTTGTTCTGGGTTAAAAAGAATGATACTGTAAAGTTTCATCAAAAGAGTAACAAACATCCAGACATCCAAACTTTCGCATTTATAATATTAGTAGGAAGGATCTTATTGAAGATTTTAGACGACAAATGTATAGGCTTAATCCGAAAAATCGATAAAATGGCGCGATAAAAACTTATCGTAACGCGCATCCTTGGCTTACATAACTGTTCTCCCATTCTAAAACTAAATCCCACTATTGCAGAATACCAAGAAATTGCAATCAAGACTGAGTCGTCAGACGATACTAAGGCCAAAAAGCGGTCGGCCAAGGCGACGACATCCCGGGCCAAACAGCCGAAGCTCGAAGCCGAGACGTCTTCGAAACGTAAGTGAAGATTTATTTTATCTGTGGACTGTGGGTCTGTGTACTCTGGTTGGTTTAATGGCGCTGTGCTGAGCCAAACAAGTTTTGAAACTTTTTTATAATACTAGAAAGATTTTTTGAGAGCTTTCCGTTGCTACTACAAAAAGTTTTTATATTTTTTAGGTATTGAGACTAATTTACGTTAGGTCACATGATGATGATGATTTACGCCCATATTCACAAACGATGCTTGCTTAAGTGAAGCAGGAAATTGAACGCACAGCGTTGAATAGTGCTCTGTGATTGGTTCGTGTGTCACCCTGTGCGTCCACGTGCACTGTGAGACCTCATAGTAATGTTTGTGAATACGGGCGTTAGATACGTTTACGATTGACGATCTACTTCTTCCTACCAACCAAATGCCTTATTTAGCAGTATAAACAAAAAAGAATAAACTGTTATTTTTAGGATTTTTTTTTACCAGTTGCATCCAATTAAAGTTTTAAAGTTCTATAGTTGAGCTCAGACACAGTGGACATTAAACTTATTATCACTAATTGTTTAAATTAGTTACATGTTATCTCATGTTAAATTATTTTCGATAGCACGACAACAAAAAGTAAAATAAATCATTTCTAACAAATTGAGTTTTGGGTTTTGTAACTAGCATGCTCATACCCTACTGTGCCACATATTTATAGGTATCAAAATAGCTGTATACTTACGGTTTTTCATCTTTTTCCATCATGTGCATTGTAGCAACTTTTATAGTGTCAGAATTTTCTTGCCGCCACAGTTTGACATAAAAACTATTAAATATCATTCTATTCATTAACTCATTTTGGTTTTTAATAGCAAGCCAAATTTTTACAGCTTTTTTGATACTTATCCGTTTAGCTTTTAAGTCGCCCTTTCTTTATTATTACAACAGATGCATATGATTTTGTACAGCGAAAATTAAAAATTGCTTAGGCGGACGAGACAAATCAGCATTTATTGTTTTTAGTTCTGCTTACCCACTTAAACAGGAAATCGTGCCTAAGTTTTGAAATTAATTTGGCTCCTTTATTTATTCACTCCTAAATTAATAACTTAAATTGTAGTAAAGTAAGTAATAATAAAGACTAACTTGAGTTCTTTTAGAACTTAAAAATTGCAACCTTTTCTCTAAACCGGTTCGAAAACAATCGTTACTCTACGTAGAGACTTAGATCATATACGATGCGCTAGATGGCGTGAAACGAATAACGTGCAGGCTTGTTCTATTGCGTTTTGAATCGATTCGTTAATATCATCTTCAATGACGGCTTTGAATCGGTGTCTGGGAATCGTATGATCTATACAATATACCACCGTAATGGTATATTAATGCATTTTGGAGAATCACTTGGACTACAAAATATACTGCCTTCTATTTAGTTTTCATTTAAACCATGACATTTATTTGACAAAGGATTGAAAGTAGCTTAAACGCTCTTTCGGAAATTGTTTCCAATTTGTTTTATTACTTTTTATTTGAATCTACCATTTTAGCAAACACCATCTAACAAAACACCTTGATACAATGATACACCCTATCTGGAAAGAGATCTAAATTATCTTATAAGTTGGGTAGTACCTACTTGAAGAACGGTTTTAATAAATGATGATCTACATCATCAGGTCATCCAGTCTTCACTTTAGGAGCAACCCTCTGACTTTGGCAAATGGAGGAAATGAAGAACGTAGATCAATTAACCCGCTAGCTGCCTCGAAATGCTATTGACTTTCTCAACTCGAAATTGATAGCAATTGGACATGAAGAAGGAAAAATATCAATACAAGAACAGATGCAAGATTTTCTCAAGATGATCACCCGAAGATATACCATATCCACAGAAATCACAATAGCAAGTGAACATAGGCAGGAAATCACATAGAAATGAAGTGTGGGAAGTCACATCTTCTCCTCCACGCACTACAAACAGCAAAGAAATACAAAAAAATGATATTGCAATATAGATTTTCAACGTCATCTTAGCACGGTGGACGCCTTTTCAGCATGTTTATTCTCAGCACTTAAATACTTGAGAAAACTTGCTAATATTGAAATAAATATTAGTTATTATCACTAATAAAACATACATTGCGACTACCGTTGACTTTTATTTATAAAAATAACCGAAACAACGTAAATTAAAACCAACCCTGGGTTAAAGTTAAGAAGACGGAACAAGATAATTAGATTCACGTTTCTGTTATAGGAACGGACGGCGCCGCGCCGAAGCGCAGGAAAGCGAAAAAGAAAGGCGTCAATAGCGCCACGCCACAACGCGCCGAACACAGGGTCAACCTTACCGCCATACTACAATTCTCCAACGCGAGTCCCTTCCGCAATAAGACGGTCCGCGGATTCTCCTGTCTCTACTGCTGTAAATCATTCCCAACTATCCAAGAATTACGAGAACACACTTCCCTCCAGTCCGAAAAGGACAAACTTAACACCATGGCAGACTACAAACTCAGCTACAACCCCATCAAACTTGACATCACTGACTTACGCTGTACGGTCTGCGATCTGCCCATGACTGACTTAGCAAATCTCAAGGAGCATCTCACAGCTGTACACAATAAAACCATTTATAAAGACATCAAGGACGTCATACTCCCTTTCCGCTTAGGAAACGGCAACAGCTATACTTGCATGATCTGTTCTGTTGTCCATGTATCGTTCAAGAATCTGTTCCATCATATGACGACGCATTACAGGAATTACTGCTGCAAAAAATGTGGTGCAGGTTACGTTACCATAGCGGCGTTGAGGCGACACGATTACACGCACTTTCAAGGTGTCTTCCCATGTGATCATTGCGATAAGACATATTCTTCTCTGGCAAAGAAACGAAACCACGAAAAAGGTGCTCACACCGGCGGTTGGCTGAGAAACAAGTGTCCGAAATGCCCCAAAGTGTTCACGAGTTACTACGACAGAAACGAGCATCTAGCTAAAGAGCACAACGAAAAATCAATCGTGTACAACTGCAACGCTTGCAGTAAGTCGTATAAAAAGAAGTTTGAGCTCAACAGGCATATAAGGAATCACCATTTGCAGCAAAGGAACTATTTCTGTGATAAGTGCAACGCGAAGTACTTTTCCAAGCGCGGTCTCGTCGATCATCTGGCGAGGCACTCTGGCGGGGAAACTTGCGCTTGCGATGTCTGCGGAAAGACATTCTCCCAGATGCGTACATTGAAAGTCCATATGGCACTACACGAAGACGACAAAAGATATCAGTGCGAGGTCTGCGAAAAAGTGTTCGTTCAGAAATGCAGCCTCAAAGCGCATATGCGCTTGCATCAGGACGATTTGGACATTTTCAAGGAATTTGAAGACGTTAAACATCTGATTGACAATAGGGAGATGACGTTGAAGCAGATTGCCGCTGAAAATAAAAAAAAAGCGGAGGATGAGAAACACAAGACAGAGTTTATGTAGTCGTACGCATTGTAACGCCATTCATAAACGATACTTGCTTAAGTGAAGCAGCAAATGGAACGCAACGTTGAATTGAGTTCTGTGATTGGTTGTGGACCCTGTGCGTCCACGAGCACTATAAGACCTCATAGTAATGTTTGTGAATACGGGCGTAAATGTGTTTATATCGTACAGTATACAGCGAACAGCGTATATTACCTACATTTTTGTTAAAAAGTCGCTCTTATGATAACTACATAGATGCCACGTTATAGTCTGATGTACAGTACATCAAATAGTTCGTGAGATCCAAAGTGGCCAGAAAGTTGACAACACAACCTTATTCCAATTGTAACAAAGACGTGTTGCGAACTTATTGGCCACTTTGGACGTCACACAAACTACCAACAAGAGATGATAGTATGAAGCCAGTTAGAATGTCTGGCAAAAGTTTTATTTAATGATTTAGCTGGTTCAGCCAGCGTCAAATTGTTCGTGACACCCAAAGTAGCCAAAAAGTTCGCAACACGTCTTTGTTACAATGAGGGCTATCGTTTTTATACTTAACAGTTGGCACCCCTGGCATTTGACAGGACCTTACTCTACAGTGGCGCCATCTTGATGAGTGCAAATGCGATAGTCCTCCTACCACTTTAGCGCTCACAAGTTGGCGCCACTGTCTTCGCTACTAGCAATTGACAGGACCTTACTCTACAGTGGCGCTAACTGGTGAGCGCTAAAACGATAGCCCTCATTGGAATAACTTTTTGGCCACTTTGGGCGTCATGAACTACTTATTTAACGCTGACTGTAACTACCTAGGCAGGAAATGTAATGCTCAGCACTGGTAAAACCGACCGTATTGCATACTTTTACAAGTATTGCATTTTTATTTTATTTTAAGAGCAATATTATTATCACCTTTATCACCTAGGCCTTATAACAAGTTTTATACCAACAAAAACACGTAGATTTCTTTTCTTCCAGTATGACAAAGTAGATTTCTTATTCATTTATAAATTTTATGAAAATTTTATGTTACGTATCTCATCTTCGAATATGTTTTAACATTTAGTTTTATTGAAATTAAAACAAAAACCTGTCTATTTTATTCTAAACATGTTAAGTTCTCTATATAGATTATACTAATATTCAATAGAATCGAACGAAATACATATTATTTGTATTAACCTTTATTTGTATTTATTTAAGGCATTTTAGCGAAGTTTTATTGTAACCACATAACATAGTGAAAATCAGTCAAGTATATCTTTAGATCAAAACATTAGATTTGTTAAAATGACCACGAAGACTATTTTATCCTTTTATTTTATGTTTTATAGTATTTAAGTTTTATAGTGGCTGCTAAAGTTGCTGTAATAAATTATATTGATTTACCTTTCTGCGTTTGATTTCATATTTCTCGTTTTTTTTTTTTTTCATAATAACCAAAAGGAAACCAATTAAACGTTGAAACGTCCGGTGTATTAGTTGAATAAGAAGAACAAGGAATAACGTGTGAAAGAATATTTTTCTTTTATAGGTAAATGCGGCGCAAAAAAACGAAAACAGAAAATAAAGGCTGAGGAGGTACACATAGAGGTAGATAACTTACCGTTCCGCGAGAAACATCTCCCGGAGATGAAAAAGCAGTGGCACAATCTGACTACCCTGCTGAAGTACTCCAATGCGACGCCGTTCAAGGACCGCAATGACGCGGGATATGTCTGCGCTTACTGCTTCAAGACTTACCCCGACCCTAACGTGCTAAGAGCTCACACACAAAACGATCACGTCAGAGAAAAACCCACCTACAAAGCCGGCTCTGGTATGGCTAGCTTCGTAGCGTTCCTAGACATTGTCGACCTCAAATGCTCTCTGTGTGACCAAAACTTTGACAGCCTAAGCCCGCTCACCGAACATCTAGTCAAAGAACACGACAAAAAATACTATCACGGCATAACTGACTACTTCCAGCCCTTCAAACTGACCAACGAACAGCAAATCAACTGCGTTCTATGTGACGAAGTGTTCCACAACATGAAACTGTTGATGCAACACATGAACGTACATTACCGGAACTTTATATGTACCACGTGTGGTGCAGGATTTGTGAATAGTTTCCGCTTGAACCGGCATGAGACGACTCATGCCAAGAAGAAATCTACCTTCCCTTGTCGCCATTGTGGTCAGACATTCGCTGCGGAGTCCAAAAGAAAGACTCACGTCAATACAGAACACAAAGGAATCGCTGGAGATAGTGTATGTCAGATCTGTAAAGCTAGATTCAAGAATTATTACCAGAAGACTCGGCATATGATGCAAGTGCACAACGCTGAAGGCATCAAATGTGATATGTGCGAAAAGAAGTTCAATTTGAAGTCGAATTTGATGCTTCACATGCGGGGGGTACATTTAAAAGAGCGGCCGTACGAATGCTCCGTTTGCAGCATGGGATTCTTTATCAAACGCCACATGTTAGGGCATTACATGGCGACCCATACAAACGAGAGGAAGTTCAAATGTGATATATGCGGGAAGGCATACGCTACACAGAACAGTAAGGGGAAACACATGAAGAAAAATCACGGAATAACTAAAACGTCTATGATGAATCCAAATCAGAATCTGCAGCAGAATATGCCTAACATGCCTAAGTGAATTTTGTTAGTTTAAAGTAAGGGATTTTGTACATTTCCACGGAGTTACATATTTACCCGACTGAATAACTACTTAGTTAAAAATATTCCTATAAAAACGTTCAGTTTATCTGAATTTAAAATGTATTAGGGAAACTTTTAGCATAATATAAATCTTTTAACGAATATTTGAATAACAAATGCTGTACTTATCGGCTTAACAAGTATTGAAGTTATGGACGACATATCCTTTTATTTTTGGCTGTAAAGATTTTATTTATTTTATTCAATTTGTGCAAAAAACCTAGCTGGCCTAATGACAATGCTTTCCTGAAATACGGTATTTTATAAATGGTTTTAAATTCGTAATAATTTATTGCCTTCCACGAAATTCATTCAAGACACTTTTCAAAGTTGAATGAATTTAGACATTCCGAAACTGAATAAATCCTTGTGGTTACTGTTATATTTCCACGTTTGAAACTTAGTTTAATGTTAAATAATAGGTAATAGTAGTAATCTAGTCTGAACAATAAAGTCATATAGGCGTGTCTGTATGATTAACAACCAACATCGAGTGATCTTTAGTTTATGTCTAGCTGAGACACGCCCATCGCATAATAAACAAAATATTTAACAAATGTTTTTCCTTAAGATATTATTATTTAGGTTATTGTAAACTGTGTGTATTTTGAAGAAAGGATTGCAATATTTATTGCTATTATACAAAATTTGTATCGTGATTTGCCTAATCAAGTATTACTATAATAATATCACAAATTATTACTTATTTCATTTGAATTATATTATTATGAAACTATACTTTTGGTATTATTATTTTAAGAACCAAAACAACGGTTATACAAAGATTCTATAACCTAAAAATAACACTGAATTAAGAAAACTGTGCTCTCTCCTTTTAAAGAATGTTTCACTTTATACCCACTAGCAAATAAGCAGTTTAATAATCCTCGTCGCCAATATTTTAGGCGATATTGGCGACGAGGTCAATTCCATCTACCCACTGAATATTAAGTTGAGTTCACTTATAAGTAACGCTGACGTCACGGTCTTTCACCCCTCCAAAATTCGACTTTATCTTAAATCTTGTAGGGTGGTGCTTCGAAGATTTTAATGCGAATTTTTCTTTGTAGGTAATCGCAGCGAAACGCAACTAGGTATTGTAAAAAGATCCATGAGTGAATTCCTAAAGATATTACGACCCAAGGCGATCAAAAGAGAGCGTCGAATCGAATGGACAGTGTCGATAAAGAAGCCAAGTTCAAGAAAAACAATACCCCGGGAAATAGATAAGCACCTACATAATATAAGAGAGATACTTCTATATACAAACGCGACTCCCATCAGATGCCACGATGGTCAAGGCTACGCTTGTTGTTTTTGCTGCGAAAATAGCTTCCCGGACCCAACGGATTTGAAATCGCACACGCTGTTAAAACACACAGATTCAGAAAAGAATTTGTTCATGGAAAATTTCCCGATGGCGTCGTACGTGGTCAAATTAGACGTCACAGCGCTTCAATGCTTGCTTTGCCAGAACAGCATAGAAGGCCTAGAGCAGTTGATGAACCATCTAATACAAGAACACAATAAGAAACTGCATTTGGACATCAACAACCATATAATACCCTTTTCGTTCAAGAACGAAGCGTTCGTGTGCGTTGTTTGCTCAAAGATATTCAAAAGCTTCAAAATAATTCAAGAGCACATGAATGTTCACTACGGCAGTTATTTGTGTCAGATATGTAGCGCGCCATTTGTGAACAAGCGGACGATGATGAGTCATTTAAGAAGGCATAAGCAGGGGGATTTTGATTGCCAGACGTGCGGCAAAGTTTTTGACACGAGGAGCAAGAGGGATATACACGTAAGGTATGTTCATGAAGGCATCCAAAAAAGAAACAAATGCAGGATTTGCTCAGAGAAGTTCACGTCTCATAAGAAGAAACTTGATCATATGGTTGAGATTCACGGGGCAGAACCGTTAGTTTTCAAATGCCTCGCTTGCGAGAAGTCTTTTGCGAGTCGAGACCGGCTGACGAAGCACACGAAGAAAGATCACTTGATGGAACGACGGCATGAGTGCGAGCACTGTGAGAAGAAGTTCTTTACGAGCAAGGACTTGAAGAATCACATGCTGAAGCATACTGGGATCAGGGAGTTTCAGTGTGACGTGTGTCTCAAGTGTTACGGAAGAAAGCATACGCTAAGGGAGCATATGCGGATACATGCAGACGATAGGCGATTTAAATGCGAAAGATGTGAACAGGCGTTCGTGCAAAAGTGTAGTTGGAAAAGTCATATGCGGTCTAAACACGGGGAGGTTGAGAATTGATCATTTGGAAAGATTGTAATATAGACGTTAGCAAAGAAAAAAAGATGTATAAATAAGTACTTAATTTACCTATATACATTCCATATTTTTATGTTTTCCTTGCAATATTAACATCGAATTTATCTCTATTCATTAATAAATGATAATTATCTGAAGCTATCCTGTTTATTTATTTTTCGAGACAATGACTCAATACTTACGTATAGGTTAAATACCTGCCTTGTTATGCATTAAACAAAAAGGTATAGGGTTTCCTGAAGATCATAATAAAAGTGTGGATAATAAGTTTGGCATAAAAGGTTAGGTAAACTACTTAATTATCTTTTAAAAACCCAAATAGTTTAGCTCTTCTTAATATTAATATTGACTTTTCTTTATAGGTCGTACGGAAGTTACGGTCACATTCGAACGGGTCTTGCCCACAGTGGACGAAAGTGAAATGGCTTACAAGTCATTCAAGTACAACCAGGTCCAAGAAATAGAGAAGCAAAGGACCAACGTCAGAATGCTTATACAATACTCCAACGCCACGCCTATAAGGTGCCACGGCGGCATCGGTTACACATGCTGCTTTTGCTCAGACCAGTTCCCAGATCCAGCCGATCTCAAGACCCACACTCTGGAAAACCACGAAAAAGCCAAAAGCACGTTCATGAAACAAAAATGCATGAGCAACTTCCTCGTTAAATTAGACATCACGGGTTTACAATGCACCATCTGTTACAAAAATATACCTACCGTCAAAGAACTGACTCAGCACCTCATCAAAATACACGATAAGCAATTCTTCACAGACGTCAAATGCCATATTCTACCTTTTGTGTTCAATAGCAGTGAGCTAAAGTGCGTGGAGTGTAAGCAAATCTTTAACAGATTCAAACTGCTTCAGGAACACATGCATACACATTACAGGAATTACATTTGCAAGGTCTGCGATGCTGGCTTCACTTCGCGTAACAGACTGTCTGTGCACAAGGGTTCTCACAAAACTGGGACTTTCCCGTGCAGTTTCTGCGACAGTATATTCACCACGGCACAAAGGAGGAAAATGCACGAGAGGACAGTTCATATACACGCGTACTTCTTGAACAAATGTGGGTATTGTGAAGTCAAATTTCGAAGTTCCCGACAGAGGGATAGGCACGTTTTAGAAGTGCACGGCGTTGGGAAGTCTAAATATAAATGTCCGATGTGCGACAAGGCTTTTACGAACAGGGATACCTTGAGAATCCATACAAAGAGGGATCACTTGATGGAGAGGCCTTTTCAGTGCCAACTGTGTGAGATGGACTTCTTTTCGGGAGCCCAATTGAAAAATCACATGTTGAAGCATACGGGCGTAAGGGAGTTCCAGTGCGACGTGTGTTTGAAGTGTTTCGGACGAAAGAATACGTTGAGAGAGCATATGAGGATACATCAGGATGACAGGCGATTCAAATGCGAGCTTTGTGAGCAAGCGTTCGTCCAGAAATGCGCTTGGAGGAATCACATGCGGTCGAAGCATGATGTCGTTATAACATAGGTTCATTACCTTTAATCCAAAAAGTAGGATAGGTCTGTCAGGTTAACTTAAATATTTTTGTGCATTCCTCGTGAAGAGACCAGTGTAAGGCTCGGTTTCCACCAATGTGGAGCGGAGAGGAAACGAAAAAAGATGTGCGGCGAAGCTGGCAGGCTATTTCCACTAAAGCGGAGCGGAAAAGAGCAAAGAGGAGATGTGTGAGCTGTGCGTAGCTTTCAGCTGTCAGTTATTGCTGTCAATGAAACACCGCACCGCTCTGTGCCGCCTCCGCTGGCAAATTCTCCGCTCCGCCTTAGTGGACCGTAACCGGGCCTAATAAATAAATGAAAAGAATGTAATACCTACCTATAGATATTGGTAAATCCATCCACTGGTAAATCGCTTTGTTGTACTTATAAGTAATTGATAAACCTACATTGTTCTTATTTGTGCTGTATGATCTAAAATAATTAGATGATGAATAAATGATTATACCTATAATTAAATTGATTACTTACTTGTATCCCATTTCCCAAATCTTCCATTAAAATAATCACAAATCAACGTACTATCAGCAACAGTTTTAACTAAAGTACGGCCAACTAGCAGCGATACAAAAGGTCGATACGATTAGGACTGTCGAGTTGACAATATATTATTATTCTGTCTCTTCCCATCTTGTGTATTTGTCGTAATGTCTCGTTCTCCCGCCAAAATATCTAGTTTCTAGTTCTTTTTCTTTTAGATCGCCCGCGGTAGGACAAATGCCTAAATCTACTTGTACCTAGTAATGTTAAGAGCAAAGCTTTATGTGCCTCAACTTGCGAAAGCAAATCTCCATGTGCCACAACTTGCATCTAATCTGAAGTGACCCAAATATCAAACTTACGTTTGTGTCATTTTGTTAGGAAAAGCTATTTTAGTAGGTATTTATCAAAGTGACAATTTATTTTTTGCAATGTAAATGCAAAAATCTTAATAGCTAGGACACTTTACAAAATTGGTAAATCAAAAAGCTAATAAGTAATACGTAGAACTTACAAAAAATACATCTAAAAATTGGCCGGTGTGATCGACTTAATAACATTTACTTTTCTTTGTAGGTGTACGTCTGACACTGAAACGTACCGTCAAAACTGAAAGGGCCTTAAAAGTAGTCGGCGGACGTAAAAAGTCCAAGGATTATTCGGGGCAGATACCAGAACTGGCCAAACACCGCATCAACGTCAGAATGATCCTCCAACACTCCAATGCGACACCGATTCGTTGCCGCGGCGGTATCGGCTACGCCTGTTGCTTCTGCACCGAACAATTCCCAGACCCTGCAGACCTCAAAACTCACAACTTAGAATGTCACCACAACGACAAAGCTGAGTTCGTGAAGGGCAAAATGATGAGCGCGTTCCTAGTAAAACTTGACATCACGGCCTTAAAATGTACCGTCTGCAACAAATCCATAGACACTTTGGAAGAACTCGTCGACCATCTCATTAAATCTCACAATAAAAAACTATACACGGACATCAAAAGCCACATCCTCCCGTTCAAATTCGACGGCGTACTTCTAAAATGCATCTACTGCTTGCAGATCTTCAGCAAATTTAAACTTATCCTAGAACACATGAATACGCATTTCAGGAACTACGTTTGCGAGGTCTGCGACGCTGGTTATGTTTCTCGCAAGATCCTGGACACCCACGTACAGGGGCACAAGCTTGGCGTTTTCCAGTGCGAATTCTGCGAGAAAGTTTTCGACACGAGCAGGAAAAAGAAATCCCATGAGAAATCCGTGCATATTCACTCGAATTTTTTGTACAAATGTGGATATTGCAACGTGAAGTTTTCGAGTTCTTCAAAGAAAGAGGACCACATTACTAAGATTCACGGCGTGGAGGCGCCACGTTTGGAGTTCAACTGTCGGTCTTGTGGGGAGATTTTTGACCGAAAAAGGAGATTCATGATGCATATACAACGGGATCATTTGATGGAGAGGCGATACGCGTGCGAACTCTGCGATATGAAGTTCTTTATAAGTTGTGATCTGAAGCAGCACATGTTGAAACATACTGGGATCAAAGAGTTTCAATGTGACGTGTGCTTGAAGTCGTACGGAAGGAAGAACACTTTAAAAGAGCACATGAGGATCCACGCAGACGACAGAAGATTCAAGTGTGGGATATGCGACCGAGCCTTCGTCCAGAAGTGCTCTTGGAAGAATCACATGCGTTCTAAGCATAAGGAATTGGTTGTGAACTGAATAATCGTTTGATAGATGAAGAAAACGTTGACTGCTAATCATTTGGAAGTTTAAACGTTGTCAATTTATAGGCTACTGCTAATTAATTATTAATTTGAATTGAATTTGTTTAGTTCAACATTTTTCACAATGAAAAGGACTGATTATTTGCATAATTGGACAGTCGCCTTAAGGCTTTTGTAAAAGCTATAGGACTTATTATTATTTAATATTACTTTCATAATAGTGTTTATTTGTAGACTTGATGTAGGTAGGTGTTTGAGTTTCTTACACTTGAAAGTAAGTTTAATTTTTGTAAGCTCTCCAAAAACTGTAATAATATTTTTTAATTAATTTATGGAAATAAACGTGAAATCTATTAAATGAGTATTTTTAACGCGCTAAAAACAAATTCCTACCAACACATACGGACACTGCTAGAACACGTATCATTAATAAGAATCGGACAATAACTCCAGTGCGATCGACTATTAACATTTACTTTTCTTTGTAGGTGTGCGTCTGAAACTGAAACGCAAAGTCAAAATAGAGTTAAAAGCGAGCGGCACACGGATAATGGGTGAAGAGTTTCTAAGCCAGATCCCGGAACTGGACAAGCACCGCACCAATATCCGAATGATCCTCCAACACTCCAATGCGACGCCGATCCGGTGCCGAGGCGGCATCGGCTACGCTTGCTGCTTCTGCTCCGAACAATTCCCAGACGCCGCCGACCTTAAAGCTCACACCATAGAGAAACACGACGATAAAGCCAAAGTCAAGTTCATGAAAGGCAAAATGATGTACTCCTTCCTCGTCAAACTGGACATCACGTCTCTGCAATGCACCGTCTGCAATAACCCTATAAATTCTCTAGAAGATCTCATTCAGCATCTAATAGAAGTACACAATAAAAGACTGTATACGGACGTCAAAAACCACATACTCCCTTTTAAATTCGACGGCGATACGCTTAAATGCGTCAAATGCATGAACGAATTCAACAAATTCAAAGTACTTTTAGAGCACATGAACTCGCATTATAGAAATTATATTTGCGAAGTGTGCGATGCAGGTTTTGTGTCACGCAGCATTCTAATGAACCACACCGAAGCTCACAAGACCGGAGTCTTTCAGTGCGATTTCTGCGAGAAAGTCTTCGACACGTTCCGCAAAAAGAAATCGCACGAAAAATCCGTGCACATACATTCCAACTTGCTGAACAAGTGTGGGTATTGCAACGAGAAGTTCAAGAATTATAAGAAGAAAGACGAACATATTGCCAAGGTTCACGGTGTGCCAAGCCGCGCGTTAAAGTGCCACGCTTGCGACAAAACGTTTGCGACTAAAACGGCTTTGACCATTCATACTAAGAGGGATCACTTGATGGAGAGACGCCATAAGTGTGAGCAATGCGAGATGAAATTCTTTAAGACGAGCGAGTTGAAAGAGCACATGGTGAAACACACTGGTATGAGGTCGTTCCAGTGTGGGGTCTGTTTTAAGTCTTACGGGAGGAAAAAGACTCTAAATGAGCATATGAGGATACACGCGGACGATAGGAGATTCAAATGTGAGCACTGCGGGCAGTCTTTCGTTCAAAAGTGCAGCTGGAAAGGTCATATGCGCGCCAAACACGGGGACATGGTCTAAATTTAACTTTATCTAGCTAAAGATATTATATTTATTTGTGCGTAAGTGTATAGTTTATTTATGTTAGAGATAATATTATGATTGTTAAATTTAAAATTTTATGAAATAAATTTTAATTGGTATTACCTAGTTGTGCTGTTTTATTTTCGTATCATAGATGAAATATTAGAAGCTGAGAATCTCAAAATACAAATATTAATCATACCTACTATTAAAATAATCTAGAGTTGCCACTAGGTATAAGCATTAAGCATTAGAAAACGGATTCATTGCCTAGACAATAGACACGGATTACAAGAAGACGTGAATTTACATTCGTTATCTAATTGGGGAACGCAACATTTTATTGCTTTTATTTATTTAAGTATTTACATAATGTCAAGAGTAAATTCAAACACCTCGACAAGAAACTTACGTAAATTATTTACTCGTCACTCGTACATACTCAAATACAAAATACAAATCTAACCAACTTTATGAACGTTATAAATAGTTTTATTTTGTAACTGATACAATATTTAACAGCAAACCCAATAAGCCACAGCCCGATCAAAAACCATGTCTTTTTACTGCTATTAACGTTCTTGTGTGCCATTTTCTTATCTCCAAGACTTCGGCATGGCGTGAGATCTTCCAACCAGTTGGAGGGAGAACATAATTTATTATTAACACTATTTCATAAACTACATTTAAAACATAAACAAAACACTGTAAAACAAATCCAAACAATCATCCCCACGTTTATTTTCAGGGCGTAACACGAGGTCCCGTGGGAAAGTCTCCGAAGAAACGCTGACTCTGAACAAGCGAGTCAATTTCTCCACCTTCATCAACATCAAGCCTTCGGGCGTATCGCGTGTGCGCCACGTCGAACGCACGTCCCAGAAGCAAAAACGCCTCACTGAGTTGGACCTACACTTTGATAACATCAAAACTGTCGTGCGATGCTCCAACGCAACCCCTATACGCTGCAAAGTTGGCGACCGTTATGCCTGCGGCTACTGCCTTGATCAGTACATGGATCCTCGAGACTTAAAGAAACATACGCTAGACAAGCACAGGGATTCTGATGATAAACTCGAATGCCTCAACATTCGGTCTTTATCGCGGTACAGCGTGCATTTGGACGTGACAGACTTAAAATGCACCATTTGCAACGATAGCATGAATCGTCTGGAAGAATTGATCGAACACTTAAAACTGGAACATGATGAGCCGATCCATTCTCACATCAGGAATCTCATGGTCCCGTACAAGTTTGAGAGTCTCCAGCTGAGCTGTGCGATCTGTCTGCAGGAGTTCGACGAATACAGCGACCTTCAGGGTCATATGACTGAACATTATCGGAACTATGTCTGCGAGTTCTGTGACAAAGCGTTTATCATGAGGAGTGTGATGGTTGAACATAAGAAGGATGTGCACCGCGTGTAATGTGCGTTTGATTAAGTCAAGTATTATTATAGTATTCTTGTTTGTTTCTTCTGGTATTATTTAGATGATGGCAAATATGATGTAGAAGAATTTGCGACCGTAAGAACTAGACCAGTCTTTCCCAAAGTGGGCGATAACGCCCCCTTGTGGGCGCTGCAGGCTTAAAGGGGGGCGGTAAAAGACCCAGAAAAAAATCGGGACGTTGTGTAGAGGTTTGGGAGACGTCCATCTACTTGGAGGACTCTTAGACATCGACTGAGCTCGACTCTTGACTACAAAAATGGGGGGCGCTAAAAAATAATTTATTCTCAAAGTGGGCAGTAGACTAAATAAGTTTGGGAACCACTGAACTAGACCATAGCCTTTTATTTCGGATGCAAAATATTAGGACCTTACAAAAGTTATAAGCGCCTGGAAATGTTCATAGCAGATATTTAAGCACTGATCAGTGATGATGACGCATACGAAATTGAACTTACTGAATATTTTGTTATAGGTCCGGGCTCTAAATCCAGAAAAGCCGTAATCAAACTTGGCCCAAGAAAGAAAATGCTCCGAGGCGCCCCAAAGAGAGTCATGCTCATAACTCCCCAGCCCCCGCCCCCGCCCGTGCAATTGAAAATGACGAAAAAGAAAGAAGTGGACAAACATCAAGCGAACGTCGCTTCTATTATAACGTCATCAAATGCCACTCCGATCAGAAGTTGGGGTGGTTTGGGATTTACTTGCAGCTTTTGCCCGACGAATTTCTTTGACCCTGCGCAACTAAAAAAGCACACCCTAACCGCTCATGGTGACGACGAAAAATCCATGTTTATGCAGGGCTATTCCATTATAAATTTCATAGTTAAGTTGGACGTGACAGATTTACAATGTAAGCTTTGCGGTTACGCTGTCGACACCCTGGAAGGACTAGAACACCATTTGACCTCATCACATCACAAAGTGTTCCACAAAGACTGTATCAACCACATCGTTCCATTCAGATTTGATGATGCAGACACTCTTCGGTGCGCCATTTGCAGAAACGAATTCAACAATTTCAAAGTCCTCCTGGAGCATATGAACAAACATTTTAGGAATTACGTTTGCGATGTTTGTGACAGTGGTTTTGTAAATCAAAGGATGCTTCAAACTCATAGCTATAGGCATAAGAAAGGAGAGTTTATTTGTCCGCAATGTAGTAAGGTTTTCGATAATAAGGTGAAGCAGAAAGAGCACGAAAGGGCTGTACATGTGAGCCACAATAAAAGAAGTAAGTGTGGGTATTGCGAAGAGAAATTCTCGGACTACACTAAGAAGAACGATCACATGGTGAAGGTGCACGGAGCTAAAGCTTTGGTCCTGAAGTGCCAGGCTTGCAATAAGATATTTGATAACCAACGGTCGCTGACTGTGCACACCAAGTCGTATCATTTACTTGAAGGACGACTAAAGAAGTAGGTTAAGTTTTAAGTGACCCCTATGGTAACACATAACAGGAATTTTGTTTTCATAGGGGTCACTTTTGATTGATGGTGAAAACGTTCATAGGTCAGGTACTTACATAGATCTGAAGTTGTAGTCCGTGCAAAATTCTCCCATTATTTTGTAAGATGATACCTGCTTGTATTACCTACGTGTAAGTGACTTTTTAGAATAAATTACTTAAACATTTTATTTACTTACATTTTAATTTAATCAAACCTCCAATTTCATAATTTATAACACTTAACCCTTATTCAAATAAAGGTAGATATATTACCACTTTGTTTACTTTTAAAAAAGGATCCTAATTTTCGATATGGTAATACTTAAAGATATCTTGGTCACTTATTTATATTTTTAAATATATTTTTTTACATAACTATGCCATTTTACAACTTTTCAACGTCATTTGTCACTGTCAGATAATGTCAAAGTCAACCAAACGGTTTTGGTGTAAAAAATTTCAAGTTTTTAGCGCGCGTTTTTAGTATTTTTGAAACTTTGTTCAACGAAAATTCTGATAAGTGTTTTTTCGATTCAAATTCCTAAACTATAACATTTATTGTATAATCTCGCTTATAGGCAACGTCTGCAATTGATTTAATCATATAATATAGACATTTCAAAGAAGTGGTAAATAGTTTACCATTGTCCGATCCCGTCTTGACAAAAGTCTGATGATATATAAAAATACTGTTTTTTTTTGTATGTGCACAAATAAAACTAAATAAATATTTGGTGAAATTTTAAGTTATTTTGATAACTATTTACGTAACGTTTTGACGTTACGTAATTAGTGAATTGTTAGTTTCAGACTCAAGGTAAGCATCCTAATTGTAAGCATAATAACTAATATTAATAAATATTTTTTTTTATAAAAACAATAAATTTATTTCATTCCCAAAATATTTAATAAAATATAGGCAGAACTAAGAGGAATTCACTAGTCAAGAACCAAAAATAAACCAAAACGGACAATGGTAACTATTTTACCACCAACATTTAATAATTTGTAGTCATGAATGGATAATGGTAAATTATTTACCACCCAAAAAACTACCCCTTCCCCTATTTTTTTGTTAATTTTGATCAAAAATATGAAATAAGTGACCCACAATTACCCAAAATCCACTTCAACTTTGTAAAAAAAATGCATACCAGCTCGCGTTTGAATAAGGGTTAAGCAGAGTAAATACAAATGAGTAGGTCATTTTCATAGAAACGCACCGAGCGCGGTTTGTATGTGAGCGCGCCAATATACGTATGCCGCCGCACACACACTGACAAAATTCGGCGCAACCACGACTGGCTCCCCGCTAAATTTTGTCAGTGTGTGCGTGCGCGCCGCATACGTGTTGGCGTGCTCACATACAAACCGCGCCCGTGCGTTTCTATGAAGATGACCTACTCATTTGTATTTACTCTGACTTAAGTCTTAAAAAGTATGTGCTGTACAGAGGTAAGTTTTTATTACATTGAGCGTAAGTATAAGTTTGGGTCGGGGTGTTAAAATTAACATGTAGGTCCTTATGGTGCGCGCGAAACGTCTAAATTGAAAGCGCCTTATAGAGTGACTAATGCCCGTTTTCACCATCAATCCCTAATGTTTATTAAGTGACCCCTGTAATGGTAACACATAACAGGAATTTTGTTTTCATAGGGGTCACTTAAAAATTAGGGATTGATGGTGAAAACGGGCATAAGTCTGTCGAAAAGTCACCTAGCCAGCCAAAATATGGAGCGGCGACGCTGACGGAACGGCAACGGCGACTCGACGCAACGGCAACGCTAATGGGGCGGACGAGGAGCTCAAGCATCTGGACATAATAGCAAATGATAGCAGTAAGTATTGCAAGAGGTAAAATATAGAAATCTCTCGACTATTTTTATTTATGTAAGTAGATGATATTTTGATTTCACTGGCTATTTAGGTAATTATTCCATGAGCGTCCTCCATGGCAGACCATTAAAAGATTGAAACAAAATTATTAGCAATTATTTATTTAAATAAGCGTTGATAATGCTGACTAGTAATCAGATAAATTGGTCTCAATAGAGAAAGAATAAACGCTTTTTTGTTACCAAATTATTATTTGGTAACAAAAAAGCGTTTATTCATTCTCTCATAGAAATGAAATTACTAATTCTTATTTTTAGTTGAACTGGGAGAGGCGTGGTGACTTCTCATATGAAACCTCAAGCTGGCTCGCTGCACGAAAGAGGCGGAACACAAATTACAAATAAATGGTTTCTCTCCAGTATGTATTCTAGAATGAGTCTTCAAGCATTCTTTCCTCGCAAAACTCTTTTCACAAACGTCGCATTTGAAAACTCTCTTCTGATCATGCGTGATCATATGGTCTTGTAGATTTGACTGGGTGTGAAAATTCTTTCCACAAACCTCACACTTCTTATTCTTCTCATTTAAATGCACATTTCTCTGGTGACGTACCAGCGAGCTGTGCGTCAAAGTCCTCAACCCACAAACCCCACAAGTGGGCATCGAAACCCCATGCTTTTCGTTCAAATGGAATAAATACCGCTTCCGTACGAATTGTTTCTCGCAGTGCTGACATTTCTTCTCTATATGGACATCCATCATATGCTCAGCTAAAGTATTTTTCCTTTTGAACTCTCTGCTGCAATGCGCGCACGAAAATTTCTTAGGATCTTCTTTGGAATGCTTGGAAGATATGTGCATTTTCCGCTGGCTGTGGTACATGAATCTTTCTGGGCAGTGAGGACAGCGAATGAACTTTTGCTTGAGATGGGATCGGATGACGTGGTACCGGAGATCCGATGATCGCATGTACGAGAGCTCGCAAGCCTTGCAAGTGTACTTATCGTCGCGTACCATTACGTACTCGTCCACGAGAGCGGTACCTATGAAGAAAGATAACCGTTAGAATTTGAACTGTATACGAAACAAGCTATCTATTAGTAAAAACTAAAAGTACTAACCTACTGAATAACTTCCTTAATTTTCAACACATAATGGTAAAAATAAAATTAGTTGGGCTGAAAGGTGTCACTCAGCAACCATGTTGGGCGCCAACTTTAGATGGGCAGTGTCACTTAGGTCTATTAGAACACCACGTTGGGCGCCAACTTTAGTTGGGCAGTGTCACTTAGGTCTATCAGAACACCACGTTGGGCGCCAACTTTAGTTGGGCAGTGTCACTTAGGTCTATTAGAAAACCACGTTGAGCGCCAACTTTAGTTGGACAGTCACTTAGGTCTATTAGAACACGTTGGGCGCCAACTTTAGTTGGGCAATATCACTTAGGTCTATTTAAAGATTAGCTATTAAAACGCAACCATTTTCAATAATGTTTTATTGAAAAATTATAGGTAAGTATATTACAATGACGGGTTTTATTAATTCTCAATTTATGACAAATGTAAATAAATTCATATTAATATAATGTACGTGTACGAGTCAAAATATCAATTTACATAATTCTAGTAAAATCCAGTTTACACAAAATATAAATAAACAATGAAAAATCGCATTCATTGACTAAACACACAGGTGCGCAAATAAACGCTTATTTTTCGGAATATCTGATTAACACAGAAACGGACGCAAACTTGGAATAACTACATACAACCCGGTCATGTTAACTACGCACTTGGTGGGCGTGACGTCTCCTACGCTCGTGGTGAGCGCCTGAGTGCGCATTCCAGCGAGGTACGCAGCTGGCTCGATCGGATTGTATTTCATTCACAGCTAGAAAACGATTCGTATTCTTACACCGCATCAGGGTGATGCTTGATCATATGATAATTCAGACTGGCTTTCTGCACGAACCTCTCCCCACAAACGGGGCACACCTTCTTCTTATCGCCCGTATGAATTTTCTCGTGCTGCCGCAGCGTGTTAAGACGTGGGAACGTCTTCTTACAAAACTTACACTCGAACTTTCTGACCGGGTCATGTCGCACCATATGCTTCCTTAAATGCGACGTGCTAAAAAACTTCATATCGCAGAGCGAACACGATAGGTTCTTCTCTTTCAAATGCACTGACCTTTGGTGCCTTATTACACGAAACTGGTCAATATTCCTATAGCCACAGATCCCACAAGTGGGCATGGCAACTCCGTGCTCGTCTGCTCTGTGAAATCCTAGTTCTTCTTTAGTGAATTGTCGCGAACATTCTGGACAGTCGAAGAGCTTGTGAAGCCACATATGCCTTTTTAACTGGGGTCTGGTTTTGAACTCCTTCTTGCAAATGTCACATACGCAAGCACTCTCCTCTTGCAAGTGAAGGTATCGTATGTGATTCCGGATTCTAGCTGGCGTTGAAGCAGTTTTGGGACATTTGTTGCAACGGTATTTCTTTTGGGGGCCTTCTTCGATGATGGTGAAGTCGGAGATATCCTCTAGCGTCAACGATTCATCTGAAACAAAAACATTTGAAGTCGTTTAAACAATTTGGTAACTTGCGTTTTGAATTCATTATCAAGCATGTAGAGGAAAATAAATCTAACTCAGACCGTTAGCGATTGGTTTTGCAATGGCAAGTGGTGTTGTGAAGCTAAATAAATAAATCCTGACTCCCCATACAAAGCTGTCGTGATCACGCTGCTTGCGTCTGCGACTGGTCGCGTTCAGATGAAATTAATTCTTAAACACAATGGTAAACTTAAATGAATGTTCTACCAGTTTCTACTGAATAATTAAGCTACCTATTTAATTTTTTTCAGATTTTTGTGTTGGCTAGAAATATCCATTCTCATTACTTTCTGAACACCACTCATAGTCCTTTTTATGGGGTAGGTATTTGCTATCTTGAAAAAAATAAAACACAATTGGTATGACCAAAAAACAATAATATTTTTAATTCATTAACAATTTCTTCAAGCATCTTTCTTAATTATTACAATAAATCAAAATTGTTTAACGAAATAATGTCTTAGTTACACCATTTTATTTAAACTTTGCTCTCACACATGTCAGCAATTGACTGTTCTTATTTACATTAAAATGAAGAATGTTCACTAATTTTGTTTTTAAGCTTTCTGTATTCTCTGTTAAAAATAAAAAATACACGTGAAAGAATTATTTCGATACGTCAATTAGTTTCCAAGATATTGAATTTTAAAAGTGCGGGCGGCGGCCGGCCCGCCATTTTATGCGCGTGACGTCATATTACAACGACTGGCTCATATTTGTATGGGTGGAATCTT